GCTGTGATGATAGTGGGCTCCTATCATCTGTCTGCGCGGGAGTCCAGTCTGGTCACACTGGGGAATGCTGCCCTCTGGAGGGAGGTGAGAAAACTGCAGGAACATGAGGCCTCAAACATGACTACAGTTATTGGGATACTGACCGGTATTTTGTCACCAACACTGATACTGATTTTAAGAAGCTAGAAATTATGATAACCGATATAGTTTTATATGATAAGCAATTTTAAATAGTATCGATTAAAACAAGCCACTTATTAACCCTCGAGGGCATTTTCTTGATTTTTGCATATATTCTTAAATTTGCCTTTAAAGGCTCCTGCATACGACATGATACCCATATATTACATATAAATTTTGACCTGGATCACTGTGTACAGAGATAATTGGGCCCTAAAGATGAGAAATGAAATCCGATTTTAAAAATTCCTAATATCTCTTGTGAAAACACAGCTTTACTGATGTAGACGAGTTGTTTTGGTGTTGAAATGGGTTCACCAAAGTCTTCGGTTCACAAAAGTAGTGGACTTATCTTCATCACTACTTTCCAAACCCGCTGCAGCAGCTTCAGCAGCTGTAAACTCTCTGAGCGCCGTTTCACATGAGTCTCCGATGTGGACTGAATGAAGAATGAAGGGTTTCCGGCGTGATGGTCAGTCCTTAGTGATTTCCTGAGTGTCCCATTGGTCAGTTTCACACAGAATGTAGACAGACACATGAATCGACTTGGACTCTCACCTCAGAGACTCAAGACACGACTCGGACTCTCACCTCAGAGACTCAAGACTCGACTTGGACTCTCACCTTAGACACTCAACTCAGACAGTCACCTCAGAGACTTAAGTCACAACTCGGACTCTCACCTCAGAGACTTGACTCGGACACTCACCTCAGAGACTTGACTCGGACTCTCACCTCAGAGACTCAAGACTCGACTCGGACTTGAACCTCAGAGACTTGAGACTTGACTTGCACTCTCACCTCAGAGACTCGAGACTCAACTCGGACTCTCACCTCAGAGACTCAAGACTCGACTCTGACTCGAACCTCAGAGATTCGAGACTCAACTCAGGTTCTGTGTGTGTGTGTGTGTGTGTGTGTGTGTGTGTGTGTAGACGGTGTTGGAGGTCCTGAAGGGTCGCTCCATTCCCATCTCTCTGTGGATCCTGATCGGCAGCATCATCGGAGGTTTGCTGCTGCTCGCACTCATCATCTTCGTCCTGTGGAAGGTACAAAACATCTGACACTTCTGTAACACTTTAATCATGCTTAGGGTTCTTTGAGTGTGCATGGTTCTATATAGAACCATTTCTTAACTAAAGAACCCTTGAAGAACCTTCGATATACAGACACCATAACATATGAATTTCTTCTGATTCTGCTTTTTTCTCTATTGACTCACCGCCACATCTCTGCCTCCGAAACTGAAATCGTTCTTCAGATTGATGGAGATATGGTTCTGTACAGAACCTTTTTGAAAAGTGTTCTGTATAGCACCAAAAAGCGTTCGTCTGTTCTTGCAAGCTTGACATCGTAACAACAGCAGAACCCTTTTTGGTGCTATATAGAACCATATACAACACATTACTCCATCAATCTGTCACAATGCAAAGAACCATTTGAGCATGAAATGGTTCTATATAGAATCATGGCTGTAAATAGAATCATTCCCTTTACTAAAGAACCCTTGAAGAACCATGTTTTTTAAGTGTGTAGGATAGATTGTAGTTTTTTGTTGATGGAGAATGTGCTGCAGATGGTTCTATATAGAACCTGTATGAAAAGGTTTCTATATAGCACTAAAAAGGGTTCTTCTATTGTTACAAGCTTGGCACTGTAATAACAGCAGAACCCTTTTTGGTGCTGTATAGAAACATTTCATAAACGTTTCTACACTCATTGTCCATTTTATCAGCTCCACTTACTATATAGGTGCACTTTGTAGTTCTACAGTTACAGACTGTAGTCCATCTGTTTCTCTGATACTTTGTTAGCCCCCTTTTACCCTGTTCTTCAGTGGTCAGGACCCCCATGGACCCTCACAGAGCAGGTATTATTTGGGTGGTGGATCATTCTCAGCACTGCAGTAACACTGACGTGGTGGTGGTGTGTTAGTGTGTGTTGTGCTGGTCTGAGTGGATCACACACAGCAGTGCTGCTGGAGTTTTTAAACACCTCAGTGTCGCTGCTCGACTGAGAATAGTCCACCAACCAAAAATATCCAGCCAGCAGCGTCCTGTGACCACTGATGAAGGACTAGAGGATGACCAACGCAGCAGCAGATGAGCTATCGTCTCTGACTTTACATCTACAAGGTGGACTGACAAGGTAGGAGTGTCTAATAGAGTGGACAGTGAGTGGACACAGTGTTTAAAAACTCCTGCAGCACTGCTGTGTCTGATCCACTCAGACCAGCACAACACACACTAACACACCACCACCACGTCAGTGTTACTGCAGTGCTGAGAATGATCCACCACCCAACTAGTACCTGCTCTGTGAGGGTCCATGGGGGTCCTGACCACTGAAGAACAGGGTAAAAGGGGGCTAACAAAGTATCAGAGAAACAGATGGACTACAGTCTGTAACTGTAGAACTACAAAGTGCACCTATATAGTAAGTGGAGCTGATAAAATGGACAATGAGTGTAGAAACAAGGAGGTGGTCAGAATGTTATGCCTCTACTGTCACTTTAATACCACTGATGTCTCTTTGTTCGCTCTACAGCTGGGCTTTTTCACGAGGAAACAGAGGACGGACAAGGACGAAAACCACGACGACTGAATTTGCCCACCAGCGTTGACGTTTCTTTGGTGGAGATCTGAGAGTGCAAGTTTTAACAAATGACCCCTTCCCTTCCTCTGAGAGCAGGACTTTAATCCATTATAGCTGCCCTCTGTCACTGGGAGAACCACGTTCCACTCACTCTGACTTTACCAAGGTACATTTGGGTTCTAGCAAGCCGGAGTGTGTTGTGAGAGTGAGTAAAGCAGGCTGTGTGCAAAAGCTTGCTCAGGACTTCAATTTAGCTCGGTGGAGACGTCGAATGGACTTGGGCGAGCTTCCCAGGGCGCTGCGATGAATGACCTCAATGTAGCTTCGGCGACGGTACTGCCAATGTCAGGCTATATTTGGATTGCAGTGAGGAGGAGGAGGAGGGGGAGGAGGAGGGTGGGGTAGGAACTCAGAGCAGTGAAATGCACTATTCATAAGTGCGTAAGAATAAAGAGTATAATTCACAGCAGCCAGATACACTTTATTTATCTCTGAACAGATACCAGTTTTTTTTCTTCAGTTTTCTGCTCATTTCTAAGGTCTGTAAATTGTTTTGCGTTACGGAGTTGATGTTGAATAAAGTTTTGTAAGCCATTTCACAAACATAACGTTCTCTCTCAATCAAATAACCCACCACATGCAGTCCAGCCCTGAACTCATTAAGTATGTTCATTATCTTTCTATTCATAATCCATTCCACTGCATTCTTCACGAGGCAGCATGGTGGCACACTGGGAAGCGAGAAGGGTCTGGGTTCGATTCCCCGGCCGGGTAACCAGCGTCTTTTCTCTGTGGAGTTTGCATGTTCTCCTTGTGTCCAGGTGGTTTTCCTACCACAGTCCAAAGACATGCAGTCAGGCCAATTGAAGATGCTAAATTGGCCCTAGGTTTGAATGTATACGTGTATCTGCCCTGCGATGGACTGGCGGCCTGTCCAAGGTGTTTCCTACCTTCCCCTCGATGACCGCTGGATAGGCTCCAGCACACCCTGCGACCCAGGAGAATAAGCGTCTTTGTGTGTGTAAGTTTGCTCATATTAAAAACATATCGTTGTCTGTAGAAAACCTCCTATCTCCAAAATGGTAACTTTACAGGAGAAGGAAAAAACTTACTTTACTTTAAATGGAAGTCAATGGAACCAGACTTTTTTCCAGGTCATTTTTGGCCATTTCTTTTGGTCCATTCATCATGAAATTCACATATCTAAATATCTAAAGGGCAACAGGCATTTTCAAATTGTCAAAAAGCTGAAAAAATCACAAAAATGGAGACGAGGTTTTGTTCCGATAACAGTGATATGTAATAGTGTCAAGTTTTAATATTTACCTATATGTCAAGGAAACCAAAATATATTAAAAACTTGACACATTTTTTGGGGGGTGGGGGGGGGGTGGGGGGGGGATATATAGAAACATATTTCCTTTGCATATGGGAATAGATTTACAATTATTTAGTAAAAAACAAAGAAATGTGTGCCTCACTCTTCCCTACATAGCAACGTATTTTAAAAAACAGCTAAGTAGCCATTAAGAAGTGAATTTTGGTTGATGATTCAGGACAGTTAGCACAATGCTAACTAGCCAACTAGGTGAGTGTGTCTGCTCTGTGATGGACTGACGGCCTGTCCAGGCTGTTTCCTGCCTTCTGCCCAATGACTGCTGGGATAGGCTCCAGCACCCCCTGCGACCCAGAAGGATCAGTGGCTTAGATTGTGTGTATTTGCTCATATTAAAAACATGCAGTTTTAAAATATATGTGTGGAAAAACTTTTAACTGTTATTTTTAATAAATATATGCCAACAGTTCCATATACGCCAATATTTTGGATTACATGCATATGTGCAGATAAAATATATGTAATAGTGGCCAGTTTTAATATTTACTTGTGTGTCAAAGACCAGAATGTATTAAATTGGACATTTTTGGGGAAAAACAACATATGGAAACATATTTCCTTTGGGAATAATTTTACAATTATTTATTAAAAAATAAAAAATGTGTGCCTCACTCTCCCCTACGTAGTGATGCACTGTGAGAAACAGCAGTAGCAGCCATTAAGAAGTGAATTTTGGGTAATGATTCAGGACACTCAGTTAGCACCATGCTAATAAGCTAACTAGGTGTGTGTGTGTATGTCTAGGTGTCTGGACTGTGATGGACTGTGTGTGTGTGTGTTTTTCACAAGTAATAAAATAACCAGCACTATAATAATCTTTAAAAAAAAATGCACACTGATTCACTTTTAATAAACACCTAAACAAATACAGATTCATAACGAAAATCAAAATGTTCTCCTCACATCCACACACACTCATACAGCACTATCAGGAAGCAGAACGACCCAAATAAAAGATCCGCTGTGCCATCAACGTGAAGACGAAGTAGAACTGATGTAAGACTCCAACAGGAATATAGTCTCATCCACCTGATTCTCACTCGAGTCCAACCTGCCGCCAGAAAAGAGAGAGAGCTGCTTGTTAAGGTCACGACTCCACAGTCATAAGTGGTTAAAGATGATGAATGAATGAATTAATAAAATAAAAAAAAGCTTGTGGATGCTTTTGTAAGCTGTGTAAATAGTTCCTCCAGTCACTTTTGTATCAATAATACATAATAAAACAGTGGTATGATTGCAGCAATTCATGAAAGGGAGTGCTATACCATGAGATATGAGATATTGTGCTGAGGTTTCCTGCCTAGATTGCAACAGACATTGCATAATTATAAATTCAGACAGTTGAATAATTTTTACACCCCGTGTTAACTAGGGATGCATCGATACCGATACAGGTCAGACTGATACCGCGCTCATTTACTCATACAGATACCAACATCAGCTGTGTGATGTACACTGAGCACACACTGCTGCGCTAATGAAGAAAGGACTTGCCACCGCCGCCTTGGCAGAGTCCCACCAGGACACCACACTTTCCATTTTTTAACACATAAAAACACAATCATAAGTGATTCCCCAACATGGGTGGAGACATTTGCACATATACACCAATATTTTGGAATATATGCACATATGCAGATTAAATATGTGTAATAGAGTCAAGTTTTTAATATTGACATGTATGTCAAAGATATACCAAAATATATTAAAAACCTGACATATTTTGGGGGAAAAACAACATATGGAAACATAAATCTTTTGCATACGTGAATAGTTTTAAAATTATTTAGTAAAAAAACAAAAAATGTGTCCCTCACTCTCCTCTATGTAGCAATGCACTGCGAAAAACATGGGTGGAGACACCAAAAAAACAGAGACATAAAAGTTGACATTTGCTACCAAAGTCCATTTATGCCAACTGTACGCTGTTTGACTGAATAGAAGTACGAGGTATAAACGTTGATACAGTGATTTTTTGCATATAGTAAATAGTCTGTAGAGAGACCGAACTGTCCTACCATGGACATCACTACGTGCTTTAGCTTCAGTGCTCACTGTTAGCAGCACTGAACAGTGTCTCAGCATGTTTGCTCAGTACTCGGTTATTCTGAATGAATCAGCTTTATTGATAACGGTCCGTAGACAGAACGTCTGTAGAGGCTGCGTTTCACATAGCAGGTCAGTCAGACGGAGCGTTTCGTCCAGTGTGAGTTTATAAATCGTAGCTTTGTCTGAACACGATGGTCTATTCAAACGTACAGTGTGAGTCACCAAACGAGCAAGATCTCTAAAATCACACAGTGTCTGTCTGGCTCTAGAGGACACCCAGCTACAGCTCAACCAGCCAATCAAAAGACTCCAACAAGAGGGAAAACTGGAAGCGTGAGCTCCTCTGATGCGTCAGCCTCGGATGTGATTCCTGCTGTCGCTGTGCTGCTGCTGAGACAGATGAGGATCAAAACTATGAAACCTACTTTACTTACAGCTGCACAGAAGAGCTTTTCTGAGCCGCTCTTCCCCACTGCAGCGCTGCTCGATCAGAGATCACTGATGTAGCATAGCTAGCTAACACACTTCATTCACAATCAGATAGATTAAATGATTTAACTGGTAAGATACATTTACACTCATTTACCCCAAACACTACTTCCTTCTAAGTAGGTACTCAGTATGGTATCGGACTCGGTATCGGCGAGTACTAAAAAAATATGTACTCATACTGGGTCTGAAAAAATGATATCGATGCATCCCTGGAGTTAACGCTATCCAGTGGTACGGTACTTGTTGATGTGATGCCGCAGGGCCTCTAGCTGCTGCCTCTCCGGCGGTGTGATCATCTCCTCCACTTCAGTCAGCTGAGCAGTGTCCGCCCCGCTGGCCTGCAGCGACGCCAGGATCGCCTCTATTCGCTGAGATTTCTCCAAATGACGCCTGCGATCAACCACCAATGAATTCAGAGCACATAAAGTAAAACAAGGAGGGCCACAATGCTGCAAGGTACAGCGTTTTCCCTGTTCCAAGACCTGATTCAACACCTCATTAGAGCTGCAACTGCAGAGTATTTCTGCCTGTCTGAGTGGAATCAGGAGGGTTGGAGCAGGGAAACTACTGCTTTACCCTCCAGCACCCAACTTCGACTCTATTAAAGTTAAAGGAGTGTCAGGAACTCACTTGTTCTCTTTGGTCTCGAACAGTCTCCTCTCTATCAGGTTCCCCACCGCCTGTGAAAGAGTTCCACACTGAAACACTGCTGGACTGGTTGCACCAGGTTTGTGTAAGTTTATACTTAAGTTTGGGCATAAAGTCTTTACTGAGTCCTTAGTTACACTAGTTAGTTTCAAACTATCCTTTTAGTAAATCTGGCTGCACCGCAAATCTGTAAGTCGTGTCTTAATTAGTAACAACTAACTAATGCGTACGTCGCTCTAACAGGACGATAACACGTTCAGGAAAAAATATCCAGCACAGAAGAGAACGATGTGTACAAGTTAAACTGAATAAATCTAATGATCTACAGCCGCTGTCTGGTTATTCTTTAATATTTCACTGAGAAACAAAATACACAGCTATTAAACACCGGTTTCTGGCTGACCAACACAACAGCAGCCTCAGTTTAGCTGTTTGGGCTTCTGAGTCTCACTGAGCTGGAGCTGTGGGTGTTTAGCTTCATGCTCGTAGTTTAAACCAGGGCGACGATTAGAGCTGTGAGTAAAATCACAGTGCATTAGAGTTTTTAGCTTAGTTAACCAAAAAAAGTCATGTTTTTGGTCTTTTTGTTCTTTCTACTTGGTTTCTGATGGTTTCCCCAAAACCTACCCCTGCTCAGGGGTTTAAATATTTAGTACCCGCTAAGCTCAACATTAAAACTAGTTTGTGGTGCAGCTCGTTCTGATTCAGTAATGATAAACCTGAACTTAGTAAACACTTACGTTGTAACTAGCCTAGGTTTGATCTGACGCACAGCTGGTGCAACTGGCCACAGATCCATCAGGTGTCATATATGTGAGAGTGGAGTGAGTGTCTGTGGTACCTTGTAGCAGTTCTGCAGCAGCAGTCTTGCAGTGGGCAGCTGGTTAACAGTGTAGAGGTAGAAGGTGCGGGAGGGGGCGTAGTCAGGGGTCTTCGGGATTTCCTGGAGAAACCGAAACAGAAGTATAAAAGTTTAATTCAGTTTTGCAAACTAATTCATTTGAGCTGTCAGTTTCAATGACTCATCCAATTTAACAGAGTCAATTCTATTCCCACCTCCTCCACGTATGATTTAGATAGATTTCATTCAACGAGTGAGTCTGATGTCTGACTTCTACTCGCTAATGGAATCAGAATCCACCAAGAAAAAACGTACAAGAAGCAGCAAGGTTATATATTTTTACAGAAATGAGAAATTTTAGAAATTAAATTTATAACATTCTGTAGTGCTCAATTTGATTCAGTTGGGCTTGTGAATCACTTTGATTGACTCACAGAAAAAAACCTGCTCCAAATAATGATTTGTTCATGAATCGGGCAGCGCTACACAGAAGGACAGGGGATCTTTACATCTCTCCGATGTGCATCTCACATGTAATGCACAAAGGAAGATATTTTATAAAAGACAAACTATAAAGTGTGGATGGTCCTTGTCTTTAGACAACACTCATATTGTTGTTGTTCAAATTACACTTAACTAACTTCCACTCAAAGTTAGTTTTCTCCTTCTGAAAGGTCACCATTTTGGAGATATGAGATTTTGAAGTGACGGTGGTGGTATACATGTTTGTGGCTGGTCTCCTTTGTTCATTTGTGACTTTGTTACCTGTAGCTGGACGAGGTTTTCGGACAGCAATGTGTACAGCATGTCTTTGGCCTCCTTTGCTGGAATCATAGCAAAATCCTCCACCTGCTTCTGCTCCAGGTGCCGTTTCCGCAACAACAGGCGGAAGATTCGGGCCGACCGTGAACCGAATCTGACCCCATAGAGAACCAAATACGGTTACAAACCCAAAACATTCACAGGTGGACATTAAACAAAGCAGAAAGTGACCACACTGACCTTTCCTGGACCACAGACTCCAGCGTAGCTCTGGCCAGGTTGGCCAATGCTCGGTGCAAATCTCAACACGCACTTAAGGATCAACGTTTCTGTACCACTCTTACATTTCAGCTTTCAACTAGACTCATTAGACTTACTTAAAAAAATCCCCTAATGCTCTATAATGTTCATATGATCCACACAGTCACTCGGACAGACTGTAATACACTACAGGAAGTGTAGGGGGCGATATGGCTTCTACTGTTTCATTTAAAAAGCCTCTATAATGTTCATATGATCCACACAGTCATTCTGACAGACTGCAATACACTACAGGAAGTGTAGGGGGCGATATGGCTTCTACTGTTTCATTTAAAAAGCTCTATAATGTTCATATGATCCACACAGTCACTCTGACAGACTGTAATACACTACAGGAAGTGTAGGGGGCGATAGGCTTCTACTGTTTCATTTAAAAAGCTCTATAATGTTCATATGATCCACACAGTCATTCTGACAGACTGTAATACACTACAGGAAGTGTAGGGGGCGATATGGCTTCTACTGTTTCATTTAAAAAGCCTCTATAATGTTCATATGATCCACACGGTCTAAAATTCAGTTTAGGAACAGAAAAGAGATGTTTGTGATGGAGAGGATACTGACGACATACATTCCTCCTCCGCTGTCACCCGTCTTACTCACAAACTCCATCTGAGAGAAAAACAAACACAGGAGCTGTATGAATATGAAAGCAGTCTAAAGGACAGGCGACTCTCTGACACAACTATGAGATTAGATTACAACTCTTTAGGAAATAATCCAGCACAAATTTCATCCAAGTTCAATTTAAAGGGGAATTCCACCCTTTTATTTTTAAAATTTCTGCATAATTAAATAGTTGAGATGTAAACAAAGTCATTTGTGGTGGTATTAGTATAAAACGCTCTGTTCTAAAGAAACTTACCGAGTCAGAATTGTTCACAGTGGTGGTGATAGGAACCAGACGTCCACCTCTAAAAGCTCCCTCACAGAAAGTTCCTACATGAAATGGTTATGAATTCACTGCCTGATGACTGAGACACTGTTTTACAATAGCTTTGAGAAGAGACTTTTAAATCTGTTCATGGTGAGAATTTCCCACTATTTTCCATCATCATTCCATATAAACTCAGAAGACTCGTGTAGGTTCACTGGTGGTTCTGGATAGTAAATAAAATGTCTATATTTGTGTTGTAGTCATGGCGACCCCTGGTTCCTATCACCACCACTGTAAAGACATCTGAATACATATGTATGTATGAACAAACTAATTACACTGTACAGACTTAAAAACAAGGGTTCAAGGGTTCTTTAGTAAAGAAAATGGTCCTATATAGAACCATGAAAACCTAAAGAACCCTTTACACGATTCTTTGCATCATAAAAGCGTTCTTCAGATTGATGGAGAATGTGCTGTGGATGGTTCTATATAGAACCTTTTCGAAAATGGTTTTATCCAGCACCAAAAAGGGTTCTGCTACTGTGACGATTTTAGGCTTGTTGCAATAGAAGAACCCTTTTTGATCTGATACAGAACCATTTTCAATAGAACCATCTACAGCACATTCTCCGATGGAAAGAACCCTTAAATCATGCAAATGATTCTGTATACACTCTTACCAAAGATGGTTCTTCAAGGGTTCTTTAGTTCTATTTGGTACCATGAGTTCTATATAGAACCATTTCATGGTTTAGATAGTAAATAAAATGTCTATATTTGTGTTGTAGTCATGGTGACCCCTGGTTCCTATCACCACCACTGTAAAGAAATATGAATGTGTTCATGGTTCTATATAGACACATTTTCTTTACTAAAGAATATTTAGACAATAAAATATAATGATATTGAGTATTATCAGAATTGATTATTATGGATTCTAATATTCCAAAGCTGATTTTGAGCTGCTGCCCTCAGATCAATGCATTTCTAATCACATCTCTAATCTGTTTATGTGATTTCAGGCATATTTTTACCGGATCGTCCACCAGCAGGGTGAGATACTGGTCCAGAATGGGTCTGCCGATGTTGTAGCTGGCAGGCAGAGCTCGAAAGATCTGATAAAAAATAAAACACAATCATAAACACAATTAAACACCACAGAACAAAACCACAACACTGATGAAAAAGCAACAACAGTTACAATAATAATGCACATCTGTGTGTCCGTGTTCACCTCGTTAGCTGAGAGCGCCTGTGTGTACGCAGCGTTAGCTGGTGTGGTCACTTCACTCAGCCGCAGCATGGTCCTCACGATTTCACTGCTTGTCTACAGCGAGAGGGGAAAAAGAGGAGATTTGCCCAAAGCCAAGACATTCAGGCCACGTTCACATTACAAGCCTCTTTGCTCAAATCCGATCTCTCTGACTCGATGGTTCACACTCGTTTAGGTAAGTGACTCAAATCTGTCATTAATGTGACGAACCGGCGTCCTGAAATGACCCTCATGAGCTCATCCTACTCAGTAACGTCACATGAATGAATCACGAGCATCATCAGCACAAACTAACGAGCAGAACGAGCTTCGCTGAGAAGATCATTAACTCTGATCAGCTCTCAGCTTCATTATTAGAGCGAGACGAAGGAGAAAAAGGTGAGATGAGCTGCTTTTCCACCGTTTACAGGCTTTAACTCCTGTTCGGCGCTGCTGCCATGGTAACGCTGAATGATGGTCACACGCAGTGGGAAAAAGCACATGAATTCCGATCTGAGTGTCACATTAAGGTCACATGGCCACAAATCGGATACATATCCAATCTAGGACCACATATGAAAGTGACTCAGGTCGGATTTGAAAAGATCAGATTTGTGTCCACACAGCTCTGAAAACATCAGAGTCACATTAGGGCAAAAAATCAGATTTGTGCGACTTTAACCTGGTACAGTACTTTACCTGGTCCAGTTTGGAGGCCACAGCGCTGATGATGGCCTGATGTCTGAAATGTAGATGAAACCGCTCAAAATTCACCTGCCAATAAATCCCCTCATCACCACACACCTGCAGAGAGAGAGGGGAAGAAGAGAGAGTGAGGGGACGGAGGGGAAAGAGAGAGAGAGGAAAGACAGAGGGAGAGTGAAAGAGAGAAGGAAAAGAGAGAGAGAGGGACAGAGAGGAAAGAGAGAAAGGAAGCGAGAGAGAAAGGAAGAGGAAAGAAAAAGAGAAAGAGAGAGGGAGAGAGAGAGAAAGAGGGAGAGAGAAGAGGACAGAGAAAGAGAGGGTAAAGAAAAAGAAAGAAAAAAGCAAAGGGAGAGACAGCAAAAGAGTAAAAGAGAAATAAAGAAAGAAGAGAGAGAGAAAGAAGGGGGAAAGGAAGAAAGAGGAAAAAAGAAAAAGGAGAGAAGGGGAGAGAGAAAGAAACAAAGACAGAAAGTGAGAGGGAGAGAGAAAGAGAGAGAGAGGGAGAGAGAGTTGGTATGTAATGCATGAAGACTGCTTTATCTATGCCGTGTGCGTGTATCTGAAGTTCTGACCTCTGCACTGTCCACTCTGGCCTTCTTTGCTCCTCTTTCATCTGCATCACCGTCTTCACTTGACCGCCTGCGTTTCCCCCGACCTGAGAGAGCAGATTAGACATCATGCACCAAACACAGCAGCACCCTTCGACCCATCTGTAGTTCCTGGCTGAAGCCCACGCTGTTGCCTGACTCCATGGCTGTAGCCTTTTTGTTCAAATGCAGCTTTTAAATGGCGAGTTCCACTGACGGCTCAGCTACTGTCATTGTGAATTTGTTTATCACTGAAGCACATCGAGTCTTAAGTAAGTAAAAAACAGTGCTGACAATGCTGCACCCATTTGTGGCTTGGAGTCCAAGAGAGCATAAGTGTCCTCGCTCTTTCTGGGTGGGCAAGATGGCCCTTCCTCTCCCCCTCATCACTCAGCCCAGTGCTAGCCAGCACAGGCGTCTGTTAGCTGATGTAACAGAACTGGCGATTAGCGTTCTCCTCCAAGCGTGTTCAGCTGTCCAATTAGGTTGCGTTAGTGGCAGTGCGCCAAGATGTAGTGGCGCTTCACAGAACCGCGTTTGCCTTCACCCTCAATACGACCAAATTGAGGAGAAAATTGGAAAAAATAAATCCAAAAAGAGGTCTGCAGAGAAAACCTCCCAGGCCGAAAGAGGTGAAGGTCAAAAACACTTTTTAATGATTGGAGTCCCGTGATTGGTTATTTTACACAGAGACAAGCCAGACAGTGTTGTTTGGTATGTCATCAACTCGCTTTGGATGGCAAAAAGTGAACTAATAGTCTCATTGCTGGGACTAAAAACCTAAAATCGGAGCCATAAAAGACCACGAATCATCCAAATGCCACTTTGAGGTGTACATAAATATAGAAAATCACAGCTGCCATGAAGGTGCTTACCAGCCGGGTGTGTGTGTGACTGTGTCCTTGAGAGAGAGAATGTAAGTATTTTTCTTAAGAATTTAATTATTTACTTTATGAAATAAAATATCTACAACCCCATTTCCAAAAAGGTTGTGCAGAATGTAAATAAAAATAGAATGCAATGATGTGCAAATCAAGTAAACCATATTTTTACAAGAAAATACCATAAAGACAACATATCAAATGTTGAAACTGAGAAACTGTACTGCTTTTTGAAAAATATTTTGAATTTGATGCCAACAACACGTTCCAAAAAAGTTGGGACGGGGGCCTGTTTACCACTGTGTTTCATCAGCTCTTCTTTAACAACACTCTGTAAGCGTTTGGGAACTGAGGAGACACTGCTGTAGTTTAGAAAGGGAAATGTTTTCCTGTTTTTGCTTGATACAGGATCAGCTGCTCAACAGTTCAGGGTCTCATTTGTCATATTTTTCATTTCATAATGTGCCAAAAATGTTATCAGTGGTGACCGGTCTGGACTGCAGGCAGGTCAGTTTAGCACCCGGACTCTTTTAATACACAGCAATGCTGCTGTAATACATGCACAATGTGGTTTGGCATCGCCTTGCTGAAATAATCAAGGCCTTCCCTGAAAAAAGACGTCATCTGGATGGCAGCATATGTTGCCAAAACATGTATATATCGTTCAGCATTAATGGTGCCTTCACAGATGTGCACGTCACCCATGCCATGTGTACTAACGCCCCCCTACACCATCATGAATACTGGCTTTTGAACTGTGCACTGATAACAAGCTGAATGGTCTTTGTCCCGGAGGACACAGTGTCCATGATTTCCAAAAAGAAATTTAAATGTTGATTCGTTGGACCACAGGACACTTTTGTATTTCCCCTCAGTCCATTCTAAATGAGCTCGGGCCCAGAGAAGGTGGCAGCGTTTCTGGATCCTGTTTATATCTGGTTTCTTCTTTGCATTTTAGAGTTTTAACTTGCATTTGTGGATGCAGTGATGAACTGTTTTCACAGACAGTGGTTTTCAGAAGTGTTTCTGAGCCCATGCAGTGATTTCCACTACAGAATCGTGTCTGTTTTTAATGCAGTGCCGTCTGAGGGCCCAAAGATTACAGCCAGCAAATACTGGTTTTTGGCCTTGTCTCTTGCATACAGAGATTTCTCCAGATTCTCTGTGTTGTTGGCATCAAATTCAAAATGGGCATATATTTTTCAAAAAACAATTATATTTAAGTTATATTTTTAGTTATTAAATATATTATATTTAAGTTATTATTATATTATATAAGTTTCAACATCTGATATGTTGTCTTTGTACTATTTTCAATGAAATATAGGGTTTAAATGATTTGCACATCATTTCATTTTGTTTTTATTTATATTTTCCCCACTTTTTTGGAAATGAGGTTGTATTTACCTTCATAATCATCATTGAATATTGTAGATCTTGTATTATTTTTCACATGCAGTTACACGCAGCCAGCTAAAACAAGTAAGCGGCTGGTAAAACTGAGTGGCTGGTAGATTTTGGAATCCACCAGCCACAGTGGCAAATGAAAAAAAAGTTAATTTCCAACCCTGAGTAGAACTATGGACAAATCAACAAGTGGTAACAGCGGTTTGAGCGCAGAAGAGCTACAGTCATTGTATCTGAAATATGCAGCTACTGTTAATCTCATTAGACGTCTGTCAAGAAAACTGGAAACGGCACTAAGAGAGTGAACACAAATACATTCTGATGGATTCTGTCCCCTCATATTTACAAAACTGCTTTTAGGGTCAAATTTGAGCAAATAAGATAAATTAATTGTGATTAACTGCACAGAAAATGTGATTAATTACAATTAATTGCTTTACCTGTCTGATGGCCCTACTGTTTACACTTCTAAAAGCATGTTAACTTAACCATGAACACAGGAGCATAAGTAACGTGTTAGTGCTAGATAAAACTGAAATGCATGTATAAGTGTGAGAGACTGACCGGTGAGGTGGATCTGTGGTATTTTATAGCAGTCTGGGTAGCTCTCTGGTTGAGCAGGCGGAGCAGGCGGAGCAGCAGCAGCAGGAGCGGGAGACTCTGAAACCGCTGAAGATGTTCTTCCTGCTGCTCCCGCACTGTCCATCGGGGGGCAGCGCTGTAGGAAATGAGTCTCCACCAAGCGGGTGAAGGCAGTGATGACCTCACTGTACTCCATACTCTGACCATCTGGGAGAAGGGATAGAAAAAGTACATTGAAAATCATGTAATGTCAACAAAAACACTGCTTTAATAGTAAAGAACAGTAAACAGTTCTGACCACTCCACAATGTACTTCAACTCACTGGCCACTTTATTAAAAACACCCACCTTGTGCTTCCACTCACTGGCCACTTTATTAGAAACACCCACATTGTGCTACCACTAACTGGCCACTTTATTAGAAACACCTTCCATGTGCTTCCACTAACTGGCCACTTTATTAGAAACACTCACATTGTGCTTCCACTCACTGGCCACTATTAAAAACACCCACCTTGTGCTTACACTAACTGGCCACTTTATTAGAAACACCCACATTTTGCTTCCACTCACTGGCCACTTTATTAAAAACACCCACTTTGTGCTTCCACTCACTGGCCACTTTATTAGAAACACCTACATTGTGCTTCCACTAACTGGCCACTTTATTAGAAACACTCACATTGAGCTTCCACTCACTGGCCACTGGGTCTTTAAGACTGACATATGTAAATTCCCTCTGCTCTTATTGGCTGCCCTGTATTATACCTCTTTCATGCTAATCACTCCTTATAACTTAGAAATTAAAGCTGCAACTTGGTTTCCATATAAATGAGCTGTCTGGACTGGAGAGTGAACGGTATGTTTTGAAACTTAAACAATGTCTTTGTACCACAGTAAACTCTTTTATTTCACAAATGTGAGGAAAATAGTTTTTCTATGATTATGGGCCCTTTAATGTACTGCACACACGTTCAAAACTAAACCATGGCTCAGAGTGAAACCACCCCCCCACCCCAACCCCCCAGAGAATACAAAAATGTAATGTAAAGCAATATAATAACAATATGGTACTTTAACTGTACTGTACAGTCCTACTGTACTGTATGATGCTCTCCTGTACACTCACCCTCCATGCTGTGGGTCAGCCTGTCCGCCACAGTCTTGACTGTACTGCTCATGGTCATCTGACCCCTCTGCAGTATCTCCTCGATCACCAGCTCTCCGGTGTCCCCGTACAGACTCTTGGCAGTGTAGATGTATCGCGGGTAGCGCAGCATGTAGAGAATTCGCTCGCTATTAACCATGTACTCCACCGGACCCCCGGGACCCCGCCGGCCCGGGCCGAACACGCACATACCGTGCTGAGCCAGCACACACAGAGACTTCTTCACCTAGCAGAGAGCAGGTTAAAGAGACAGTTCAGCTAAAAATGTAGTTTTCCGCAGTTACTGTAAATGCAGTCGATCAGCCGGATATTATTTCTAGTTTTTCACTGGAGCTGCAAGGCTAATGTAGCTAACAAGCCAGTTTACCCTAATTGGCATAGTGCTAACTCGCCTCAAACCTCGCCTCAAACCGCATGGAGGTGTTCAGTATCTCTAATAAACTTGATGATGTGGTTTCTGACTCTGTATGACTCACTGTGATCTATAAACATGGACTAAAGTACATTAGCATAGCTAAACACAGAAGCCGCTGTAATGAATCCTGAATATTCTCCCTGTTTTTGTGTTGATTTCTCTCAATGAGTCACTGACTGACTGATTCACTGACTGATGTCAACTGTCAAAACGCAGATTGGCAAAGATTGACAAAACAAGCAGCAGGTGGCGCTGTACACCATTAAATGCTGCCCTCTCCCAATGCTACAGTCTTAAAAAAGATGGTTCTTCAAGGGTTCTTTAGTAAAGAAAATGGTTCTATGAAGCATGAACCCTTAAAGAACCCTTTAAAGAGTTCTTTGCATTGTAAAATGTTCTTCAGATTGGTGGAGAATGTGCTGCAGTTGGTTCTATATAGAAGCTTTTTGAAAAGCGTTCTATGTAGCACCAAAAAGGGTTCTGCTTTTGCTACGATGCCAAGCTTGTACCAACAGAAGCATTTACATAGAACTATAAACTTGCAAGCTCAAAAGCGTTCTGCAGATTGAGAGAATGTGCTGTAGATGGTTCTATATAGAACCTATTTGAAAAGGGATCTACATAGCATCCAAAAGGGTTCTTCTATTGTAACGATGTCAAGCTTGTAACAATAGAACACTTTTGAATGCTATATAGAACCTTTTTCAAAAAGGTTCTATATAGAACCGTCTGTAGCAGATTCTCCGTCATTCTGAAGAAAACTTTCATGATGCAAAGAACCCTTTAAGGGGTTCCTTGAGTGTTCATGGTTCTATACAGAACCATTTTCTTTACTAAAGAACCCTTGAAGAACCGGGTGAAATGACAGTGATGAATACGTCCATTAGAGCTTAAGCTGTCGGACTTCATAAGGGCTCCAGATTAACGTTGTTCCCTCACCATAGCGACAGTAAATATAGAGCACGAGATGATGTTCAAACTGGAGTTTCTAAACACTGTGTCCACTCACTGTCCACTCTATTAGACACTCCTACCTTGTCGGTCCACCTTGTAGATGTAAAGTCAGAGACGATAGCTCATCTGCTGCTGCACAGTTTGTGTTGGTCATCCTCTAGTCCTTCATCAGTGGTCACAGGACGCTGCCCACAGGAAGCTGTTGACTGGATATTTTTGGTTGGTGGACTATTCTCAGTCCAGCAGTGACACTGAGGTGTTCAAAACTCCACAACACTGCTGTGTCTGATCCACTCAGACCAGCACAACACACACTAACATACCACCACCACGTCAGTGTTACTGCAGTGCTGAGAATGATCCACCACCCAAATAGTACCTGCTCTGTGGGGGTCCATGGGGGTCCTGACCACTGAAGAACAGGGTAAAAGGGGGCTAACAAAGTATCAGAGAAACAGATGGACTACAGTCTGTAACTGTAGAACTACAAAGTGCACCTATATAGTAAGTGGAGCTGATAAAATGGACAATGAGCGTAGAAACAAGGAGGTGGAACGTTATGGTCATGCAGCTGATCCAGAAAAACTAGACTTGCCTTGTCTTGTTTGCTTTGTAGCCAGAAGCAAACATGACTTGGCTGATCGACTACGACTGGAATAAGGGAGAAAGTTCTAGAACAGACGTGTGCGAAGGGGGGGGGCATGTGGGGAAAAGGTAAGAGCTAAAAACAGTACCAGGTCGAGTGGGATGCTGGTTTGATGGGCTAAAGCTCGCAGGTTTAGAGCTCCACTCCTCAGGAGCTCCGTCCCAACCTTCTCCACCACCTCCCCAAAGTGCTCCTGCAGCAGCAGCCCGCACAAACGCACCTCCTGCGCTGTCATCTAACAGAGGGGGGACAAGACACACATTCACTAACCTAAAGTCAGTCAGCAGGCTGAGGTTCCTGAGGCCTGGAGCCCAACTCAGGAAGAACATTCAACTGCATTTCATCTTTATAAAGCATCTATAACAGTAAAAAGCAGCGCTGTGTCAGTGTTAGTGCTTATTGGAGTAATAACTGCATCATATTCTTCATATCTATGTAGTTTCCTTCACTAAAAAGTGATATTTTTGAGGCAAGAAAAGGACTGGAAGGGGTCCACCTCCATCAGAAGGCTCTCCCTGCTTTGGTCAGATTGGTCAGCCCTGATTGGTCTACCCAAATAACCCAATATCATGAGAGATAGTCCTGATTTTATAAACAATAAACGCAATAAAAATGATTCAAAGACACAAAACTGACCTGGAAGTAGGACAAAAATGTTTAAAAAAGGTTCAAAATGTGTTGTATATGGTCCTATATAAGCACCAAAACAGCAGAACCCAGAACCATCTTCAAAAAGGTCCTACAACCATCAATCTGAAGAACCGTTTGACCATGCAAACGCTTCCACACTCACGCTTACAAAATATGGTTCTTCGAGGGCTCTTTAGTAAAGGGAATGGTTCTATTTAGAGCCGTGAGTTCAATATAGAACCATTTCATGCATAAATGGTTCTTTGCATGGTGGCAGACTGATGGGGAATGTGTTGTATATGGTCCTATATGGCACCAAAAGGGGTTCTTCTACTGTTGTGACGTCAAGTTTGAACGCTTTTCGATGCTATACAGAACCCTTTTCAAAAAGGATCAACACAGAATCATATACAACACATTCTCCATCAATCTGAAGAACCATTTCACCATGCAAAGAACCATGGTTCTGTTTAGAACCAAGGAACCCTTCAAGAGTCATCTTAAAAGAGAGCTATGGACAATTTCACAGTCCACCTGCAGGCCCTCTTAGTCTTAGACAGCCTTTAAAGAATTATACAGTCACCTATCTAGAACAGCTGGAGTGATGAGCTGTTTACTGAAGAATGACAGAGGGTTAGGTTAGTTAACCTAGGTTAGCTGTTAGCTTCCTAATGTCAGGCACACTAGATTCTAACACTTCCCCAGCATTAAAACAAAAACACAGAGAGGATTACGAACCTCTAAAAGTCAGAGCTTTCCCTTCCCAGTGCTGTCTGTAGGCTTGTACAGCGGTTAATAACACAAATAAATAAATGTTTTTAGCTACTAACTCCCAGCTCTCACATGGCTTCCCCACACTAGTAACGCAGGTGAATCGTTTCGTTTGAACCGGTTCTTTTTCAGCGAATCAGTCAAACCGATTCACAAGTTCAACTGAATCGAATCCAGCATTGTAATTCCATGTTATAGGCTTTAATAAAAGTGATGCATGTTAAAGAAGGATCCCACCACTAAATATCTGCATAATTTAATGGACGACATTAAATAAGTCATTTAAAGTGGTTTAGTGTAAAATGGTTCGTCACAGAGGGCAGCAAATAAAAATCAGTTTTGGAGTATTAGAATCAATTATAATCAATTCTGATAATACTCGATACAATATTATATTTTATAGTCTACATTGTACTACATTGTAATTAGTCTCTTCAGTCATATATGTGTATTCAGTGTATTCAGATTTCTTTACAGTGGTGGTGATAGGAACCAGGGGTCCCTACAACTACAACACAAATATAGACATTTTATTCACTATCCAAAACCATTATATGGAATGTTGATGATGGTGAAATAGAGGAAAAACTGAAAATAATAAGTTTACTTTGGGGTCTATTTTGCTCAAATTAGAGGAATTTATCCTTTAAATGCAACCCCTTTCCTCTCTCTACAGGCTATAGGTGACTTCTATTTCAGTTATTTGTTCATGGTTTGTGATGATAAAGTTGAGTTGATCATTGTGGACGTCAGACTCCCTCAGTGTTCAGTCCTGTCTACACTTGGTTTTTGTGGTCTTGATGGTACATGATGTGTTTCTGGATTTAGCACAGGAGCTCAAGCACTCAAGATACTGACTGTATAAGATCTTGTGGCTTTTAAATTAATTTTAAAAATGTGATTTTAGAATTTTTGTTCACAAAACAACATGAAATTGATGCACGCGAGGACCATGAGGCTGTAAGATGTACTGTTTCTCATTTTGCCGTTCAAAGGGTGCTCATTAGCACCTTCTATGGCCTTTGTTGAGGCCTTACGCTTTACTAAGTCATGGCCCTGCATTAGGATCTTGTTCCCATGCGTTAATGCAGAATTATTTTTATTTATATGGGATGTCAACAGCAGGCCCCGTATGGAGCCCTGATGATGACATCCTGAATAAATAAAATTAACGCGTGGCCATGCCTTATTAACACTCTGGAACAAGATCCTAATGCGTGGCCACGACTTAGTAAGATGTGGGAATGAGATGATTAAGTCATGGCCATGACTTAGTAAGGCATGGGAACGAGATCACTGCTTTCTGTGCGTTAGGATCCCGTTCCCACACTTTACTAAGTCGTGGCCACGACTTAATCATCTCATTCCCACGCCTAAGTCGTGGCCACGCATTATTTTTATTTATACGGGATGTCACCAGCAGACCTCTTTAGGGGACAGGCCCATAACAGTTCAATTGACCTCAATCAATGAATCGGTCGAATCGGACAGCTCAAAAGACTCGGTTCCCTGAATTGAATCGAATGTTAGAACACACAGACGTGTGGCGTCACTTCCAACGTCGCTCTTGGCTCCGCCCCAGTGCTGACGTAATCGCTCCAGCCCGTTTTCCCCCTTCATGGTAAGATGGCGGAGGCTGCGGCGGTTCCTCCGCATCGCTTCTTCTGTCACTGTTGTAAAGGCGAAGTGAGCCCCAAACTCCCGGTAAGAGGGTGTTTTCAGGTCCTTCTCTTCACCCCAGCCTTCCTCCACCTTTACCGAGCCGTGACAGCCGAGTTAGCGCTCTTTATTTTGTGAATGTCGCTCGACGAAGCTAGCTCGAACTTAGCCAGGCAAGCTAACCAGGCTAGCCCAGCGCTAGTGTTTCAGGTTGTTGTTATTGTTGTTGTTGTTTTTGGGCCGGAGCAGCAAAGGAGACTGAGCTTTATTGTGTCTTTATATGTCTAGGTGAACGTATGTCTACCTGTTCGTGTAAATCTGAGACGTTTTATTGCCTCTTTTTACGCCGAACGTATGAAAACAGCTCTTGCAAAAACACAGGAAGAGTGGAGGCAGCGTTTCTTTCCATTTCCAAGTATTTTCTTCATTTTCTGCTGAATATTTCTCAACTGTAGCTGTGATATTTACAGTTCGTGTCAAAAAGTAGCAGAAAGACATTAAATGTTTCCCAGGGCTTAGTTGAGAGTGGCTGGACAAAGTTAAACTGAAAGTGAAATATAAAAAGTGTGGCCTATTTTAGTTCTGAACGTTGTATTTTTCAGTCTGACCTAGGGCTGGGCAATAATAACGGTATGTATCGTTATCGCGATAAATTATGTCACGATTCAGCTTTTCTGAACATATTGTGTGTCTCCAGTGCTTGAAGAATACTCACCGATTGCATGTGTCATTGTAAAGAGGGCAAAGTGAGTCCCATTTGGCTCGATTTAGTGCACAGATATTGACGAAAAAAATCAATTCACAGTTTCTGATAGTATTTTTTTTTATTTAGCTCTGCTGGGTCTTTTTTTTTCTTGGTTCCAACTTATCAGATGTCTAAAAAAGTAAATATTGTGACATATTGTGTATCGTGAAAATTTTTTGAAGTATCACGATATTATATTTTTTTGCCGTATCGCCCAGCCTTACTCTGCCCTCGTTCTGTCAGCGTGTCATTAATTCATGCCTTGAAATTTCAACAAGCGTCTTGATTACTTTCATCTCTTGGAATTAAACAGCTGCTTGTCATACTGAGCTTAGAGGGTGACTTCATGGCTTAGCTAGCTGTCTTTTTTGGACGAGCTGAAGACCTGCACAGTAAGTGTTAGGGCTGAACGATGAATTGTTTTTATATCAAAATCGCAATTATTATTAGTATTATTATTATTATTTTAAATTATCAGTAATGTTGTCTTAAGTTTTAAATGAGGAAATTTAACCTAATAAAATGGAGAAGCAACAAAACACCCATGTTCTGTATATATGTGACATCACATCTAGAGCTGGACAGTATTTATCATTATCGTGATAATTACATCGCTGTGTCACAATGTGCTTATCTGAGCATATTCTGGATATCGTCAGTACTTAAAAACACATCCCAACTGCATGCTTGAGCTTAAATAGTCATTTTTAATTAGATTTATTGCAGCACAGAGTGTGAAATGAAGAATTCAAGTAATCGTATTCATAATTTTTGACAGTATTTTTAAACATAGCACTGTTTTAACTTATTAGATGTCAGAAAAATATAAATATCATGACGTGTATAAACTGTTTTGTGTTGACATGTTGACGTCCTGAAGTATTGTGATGTTACATTGTGCCTTATCACCCAAATCTAATCACAACCATCACAACTGGTCGTCTGACACACTCAGTGTTCTAGCTTCATGCCAGAAGAGGTGGATATTATGGTCTTCTTGGCCAAAAAATAGGCCTGGAAATTCGTTTACATGAAATAATTGTATTTAAATTCCAAATGAGCCAGGAAACATCTCAATGAGATATTTTCCCCAAGTTGTTCAGCCCCTAGTAAGGGTCAAAAAAGTGGGTTTTTTGCCAAGTAACATTTATAGTGTTTCTGGGAACGCATTGCTATAAAGAATGGGGAAGTGTCCTGCTTAGAACCAACCAGCAGCTCACATGATTCCCTTATTTATTTGTAGGTGTCATTTTTGAATTAAAACTGGAAGTTAACAGCTGATGATGTGTTGCTTGTCTATAGGAGTATATCTGCCCAAGATGTGACTCAGGGTTCATCGAGGAGGTGACGGAGGACTCCAGGTGAGGTTTCTCGTCCAGTCTGCCTACTTCCTCATTGTCTGTTGGCTCTAATGGCATGCGGCAGGTCCTGCACGACTGCTGCGCTTGTGGTTGTGCTTAGAAGACACCAGATAAGTTTCCTTTTTAAGCGTTCAGCATCATGCGCAGCATTTTTCTTGTGCTGTATCACAGCTGTGGCATTTGTGTGATGTGACATTATGTACTGATTCATTTTTACCAGCCTCAGTCTTTCCCTTGGAAATTAAGCAGGCTGCTTTTATTACTGTGATTTTGAGATGGATATGCAAATGACCAAATGAGCTTGGTTCTGATTGGCTGTTTAGAAAACGATCCGGGCTGAAACACTTGCAACTTCAGCGTGAATGGGCGGAGCTAAACTGCTCTAGGCGGATATATGTAAACCAGTCGGTTTTCGTGTCATTGCAGAAACAGAGAATTCAGTTTTTGCAGTTTATTTTTCTGAAATGGACCAAGGGGTGAAAAGTATGCTGGGAACTAACAACATTTACAGCTCTTAGGAAAAAAAAAACAGCAAAGAAATTTCAGTCGTCTTTTAATGCACACACTTAAAAATGATGGTTCTTCAAGGGTTCTTTAACAAAGACACTGGGCCTAATTCACCAATATCTTCCTGAGTTTCTTCTTAAATGTGTTGTTGAGAAAGGTCCCTAGAAAGTCTATGTCAGATTCATGACGGGTTCTTAAAGCGCAGAGCTGTTCTCACCTTTGTGCTCTAGAGTGTGTGTAGATTCGGTTCTTGCCTAAGAACAAATCCCACATAAGAGAACACTGGTGAACGTCAGAATCTTCGTGAAAACTGCCTAAGTGGGTTTAAAGTAGAAATTTCTTCTTAAGTACGGTTGGTGAATAAGACCCGTTGGTTCTGTATAGAACCGTTAACGCTTAAAGAACTCTTTGCATCGTGGAAGGGTTCTATAGATTGATGGGGAATGGGCTGTAGATGGTTTTATATAGAACCATTAACACTTTAAAGAACTCTTTGCATCGTGGAAAGGGTTCTATAGATTGATGGGGAATGTGCTGTAGACGGTTCTATATAGAACCTTTTTGAAAAGTGTTATATATAGCACCCAAAAGCGTTCTTCTATTGTAACAATGACAAGCTTGTAACAATAGCAGAACCCTTCTGGATGCTGTGTAGAACCGTTTTCCAAGAGGTTCTGTATAGAACCGTCTGTAGCACATTCATGCACATTCTCCATCATGATGCAGAGAACCCTTTAATCATACAAAGGGTTCGTTGAGTGTTCATGGTTCTATATAGAACCATTTTCTTCACCCTTGAAGAACCATCTAAGTGTACCAATATGAAGTAAAAGAACAACAGAAGAAAGCAGAAAAGTATTCATGGAAATACATAAAGGGGTTTTATATAGAACCAAATAGGGTTCTTCTATTGTTACAATGTCAAGCTCGTTACAATAGAAGAACCCTTTTTGGTGGTATATAGAACCAGATACAGCACATTACTCCATCAATTTAAAGAACGCTTTTATGATCAAAAGAACCCTTTAACCATGCAAAGGTTTCTTGGGGGACTCATTTTTAAGTGTGTACATTGTTTGCACTATCAAATGCCAGAAAAGTCCCACATTGCATTTGAGCTGTCATGATTAATCAGTTCAAATCAATCAATCAAAAAAGGTTTACTTCTCAATACACCTCTGATGTCTTGTCATCATTCTGTAGATGTGCCTGTAGGAACTCTGGGTCTCTGTGTCAGAAATAAATGGCATTTTTGATAATCAGTGCCAAGATAAAATGTCCCAAAGCCATTTTTTCCCTGTGTATATTTTTTCTCCGTAGTGTTTCTGGATCCTCTGTATTATGAGTTCATTTAGCAGCCAAAATACAAGTAATGCTACATACATGCTGAAGTGATGTAGCTTGAAGATGAGTCTACTATTAAACTTCATCACAAGCCACGTTTACATGCAGCCTGATAATCCGTTAATAATCCAACTAATATCTCGATCGGAAGAGAATACGTCCATGTAAACACCTCAGTCGGAATAGTCTAGTCTGATTGAGGCCATTCAGAATACACACACACACACACACACACACACACCACCACGTCAGTGTTACTGCAGTGCTGAGAATGATCGACCAGCCAAATAGTACCTGCTCTGTGAGGGTCTATGGGGGTCCTGACCACTGAAGAACAGGGTAAAAGGGGGCTAACAAAGTATGCAGAGAAACAGATGGACTACAGTCTGTAACTGTAGAACTACAAAGTGCACCTATATAGTAAGTGGAGCTGATAAAATGGACAATGAGTGTAGAAACGAGGAGGTGGTCGTAATGTTTTGGTTTCATTTTTGGTGCAGGTGTAGCAGTGGATTTGACAGCTCTGTGTTTATTGTTTTGGCGCTTTTTTTATAAACACTAATTGCTCGTTTAGTATGAGCAGCCCTGTTTGCTAACATTGTGATTATGTTCTTTTTAGTCTTCTGGACAGTAGTTCCAATGGCCTTGATGACACAGCTTCACAGTTTGCAGAGGTACGTTAATATTTGGTGAATGTTCTGGATTCGGTAGACCAGCTGGCTGCCTGGAAATGTTTTAAAACGCACAAATGCACATTAAAATGATTTCACCACAGGCAGCTGGGTGCAGGCTATCCGAGTAAAGAGGGTGAAGGGGGCGGGGCTTAGGTTGTGAACACTCCCACACTCAGATGACTGGGCTTTTGTTTTTCTGAAGAGCTTATAAACTGTAGAGGTGTTGGTTTTTGGGGTTTATGTGGTTGGCTGTTTTATTCATTATTTATTTCTGTGTTTATTTGAGCCAAACTGACCTGTGAAGTATAAAATCACAGCTGAGTCATTCTACAGAAACGTCCATTTTTGTGTCCCTAGTGTTTACAGATATATTACACTTGAAAAACATGTTAGGGTTACAATTTATTTATGTAAAATAAATAAAAAGTTATTTTAACAGTTACACCTTCTTGAGCCTCAATTTAGCAGTACTGTTTTTGAAATCGATTATAAAGAATTCCAAGCACCACAGAAGAGCTCGTCCTCACAGTCATGTGTGAAGGCTGAGGCCATATTTTGAGGTAATAAACATGTTTTTCTGCAGTTTTAACTGCAATAATCTATACATGACTATGAAATATATGAATATATGAATGACATAAAGAAAACAAATGCCAAATAAATATTATAAAAAATTTAATGAAAGTTGTCCCCAGGAGTCACTGTGTCACTGGTGTTACTGCGTAACAAAAAATTTCTTATTTTGAAACAAAAATCACACTGATGACATCACTTGACTTCCTTTTACCTGTTTTCTGAGGATCTATGAAGAAAAGCACATGGTGAGTCCACTGTGACTTTCAGTTATCAGAGATTTTCTCATTCAGCTCATGATTTCATATGAAGCTTTTAGCTGAAGTCACTGGTGTGACCGACTTTATTCTGAGGTAACTGTGAAAAAATAGAATACAAATGGATTAAATTCCATATTTTAGTGGATATTCCATGATTGACATGTGGTTTTATGCTCTGTAGCATTTTGTAAAATGCATTGTTCATTAAAAATGTCTCTGGTGTTCCTTTATTATGTGGAACACCAATGAGGATCAGTAACACCAGTGACTCCTATGGAGAGACAGAAAAGTGGACGTTTCTGTAGAATGACCCAGCTCTATAGAACTGAGACATTTTAACACTAAACATCCAAATCGAATTGAATCATGACTTTAAAATCGAAGATCGTGCCAAACCTGAAAATGTGTGTATTGTTTCATTTTGGTTATTTGAATCAATAAACTCTCTCTCTCTCTCTCTTTTAGCTTTGGCAGCTTTTGTTTGTGGAGCGGCCGTTCACAGTGGACCTGGACAGCCCTGATTCAGAGCCGCGGGTGCCCGGAGGCGGTGGGGGTTTGGGTCTGGGCGGGGGGCCGTTTGGCGGGTCTGTCCCTGGTGGACTCGGCGGGGGCCTCGGGGGTCCGTTAGGAGGAGGAGGAGAGCACTGGGGGCCCGGCCGTCCCCCACGCTTACACACTCAGAGGAGATACAGGTCCAGAGGAAGCAGCCGACCGGATCGATCTCCAGCTGTAGAGGGGTGAGCGCTTTAGTGCTTTAAGCGATAGTTCAGCCAAAAATCTGATTTACCAGTTTTCCTGTTTCCCTCGTCACCCCAAGTGTAGTCAGTCAGCCGAGATGTGTGGTTTCTTAAGTTTGCTTCTTTAATTTTGCGTCGGAGCTACAAGGTTAACCCCATTCTAAAGGTTCTAGCTACACCCCTGCAGTTATCATGGTGCTAACTGAATGCCTGAATCATCGCTCACTCACCTCACAGGGTGTGGAGTCGTTCAGTGTCTCTCATAGACTCGGTTTTGTGCTTTCAGACACTGTGTGACTCACTGTTCTCTACAAACGTGGTGCAGTTAGCACCGTGCTAACCGATAGGGTGCTTCTATTACTTCTTAGCTACATTAGCCTTGTAGCTCCAGAGCAAACGGAAGCTGATCAGCTCCATTTGGGAGGATTTTTCATCATCACTTTACTTTCTGTCTACTTTTATACCTCTAATCTTCTTGTTTCAGCCTCTCGGCTCTATTTAGCATGTCCTACTAACAGTATGTAGTTCAGTACAGCAGTTCAGCAGAACCATCTCACAATTTCTGTTTCCTTTCCATCTCTCGCAGTGGCCTCTAGTCATTTCTCTGGCATTTTGCTTCATGCCTCTTACTATTGTTCTCGTTCTTGTTTGCCCTCTCACCTTCTTTCTTTCTTCTCCTAGTCTGGCTTTCTCCTGGCTACTGAAATCTGAATCTCTGCCTTTGTTTGTTATGTAATACTCCACTCACCGGTCTTAAATTAAAGAGGAGATCCTGTGAGTCTCTGACAGGGAAGCCCAGTTCACCAGTGGAGAATTAGCATTAGCATGAGCCAGATTTAAAATAGCTCATACAGCGAATTGGTGTCGCTTTATGATGGTGTTATTCGTCACTGAAGTTTGTAGGCGTGCAAAGGTGGATGAGTGGATGCCTCTCATGATATGAGTAATCAGGCTCTTAGAGAGTGCACAGGACAGGGTGAATAACGTCTCAGCTGTGATTCGGGCACGGTAGATCATCACAGCCATGGTTTTATTCTCCATAACGCACCACCAACAGCAGTTTTACCAACTAAAAGAAGAAGTAAAGCAAAAAATTGTCATGTTTTTATATAGTGACAAATTAATTCTTCTGCCAAAAAAAGTAGTTCCAGAAGTTTACAGTGAAGTAAGCATTGTTGTTGCTTGGCAGTGGTGAGTGGAATAATGCAGGTATGGTGGAACACTTGCTGTTGTAACAACACAGGCAGAATATCTTTTAATCGATCAGATTGTGTGGGCGGAGCTTACTGTTATGTAAGGGAAGGTAGAGCATGAAAAGAACAACATGACTGCGCTATTAACTATGGTGAGAAAGACATATCACACATGCTTATAGAGAATATACTAAATTTAGTTTCACTCACTTCGCACCTATTTTTTCAGGTGGCACACTCTTCAGTGTTTTCACATATAGTTTCTTTTGGTAACGCTTTGTTTTACAGTCCCCCAAGTTCTAGGTATTAACCAGGTAAGTGTGGGGTACAAACTCCAAAGTACTAGGTAATTATTTTAGGTGAGAAAATATTAAGCACCAGGATAGTCTAAATGAATTACTATGAAACGTCTCACAGGTTCTAGATCAGGCCTGTGGGCCTTGTGTTTGACACATGGGTACTAGATTGTCAGTATTAGAGGGAATGTATCTGTGTGTTATAATGTATTTACCTGGAACTTCAAAAGAATAAACAGGATGTAAGTCGGAGCTCAGCTCACTCGAATCTGTAGAGTCTTAAATAGTGTGTATCTGTTTATTACCTAGATACTAAACTGAATCTGAACTGTAAAAGAAAGCAGGGACTCTTTCTATGGTTCTACTGGGTTCTGACCACAAAGTTCAGAAAAATTGCCACTTGTTATGCAACTGTAAACAGACTATAAGAGAAAGCAGGATTCGTAATACCTGTTTATTAAAACCTTTTGAGTGCTTCAACTCTATTTTGACACAATAATTCCTGTACATTACAGTGTACAATATTGTACAAGAATGTCTTAATTCCTACACCTTGCTGATTAGTTCTTTTCACATAATTTCATAATAATTTATTTAGACTACCATCTTATTACTTAAAATAATTACCCAGTACTTTGGAATTTATACCTTACCCTTAGCTGGGTAATACCTAGAACCTGTGAGACATTTCAGTATAATTAATTTAGACTATTCTGCTACTTACCATCTTGTCACCTAAAATAATTACCTAATACTTTGGAGTTTGTACCCCACACATACTGGTTAATACCTAGAACTTGGGGGACTGTAAAAGAAAGCGTTACCTTTGTTTTTTAACTGAGTTCTGTTAAAGTGAACCTGAAAGGGAATTGACCTGGCGCTACATCTAACGTACATTTTATGAAGCAATTTGAATTATTTTGGATAAAGTACATCATTTGGAGGCATTTTCCCACTAATTTTGATGACTTGGAGTGAAAATGAAGGAAATTTATGAATGGTTGAAAAACGCACACAAAGTTAAGACTATAGTTTTACGTATTTTGATAAATTTAGTGCTATATTGAACATACATTTTACAAAGGTATTTGAATTATTTTGGACAAAATACGTCATTTGGAGGCCTTTTCCCACTAAATTTAATGCCTCAGTTGACCTCAGTTCTTTTAGTGTTCACAATGTAAGTGAACTATAGAGGACTCTCCTCTTTTTCTTTCTGGTCCTTTGAGATCTCCGACCACTTCTTGTTCAGACAACAACTCCATTAGAACTCAGACCTCTTTCACAGCACTCACGGTGGGTGCAGTGTTTTGTTGATCTAATTTTTCGGGTGGTGAGAGGAACCATTCATTTAGCGTTCAGTGTGAAGGCATGAGCCTTTAACATGGTAAAATCACGCGGGCTCTCGCATTGTATTGCTTTAATATGTCAGCGCTGCTGTCTTGTCGCAGATCTCGGACAGACTTTATCCTGAGTAGAACCTTATAAATGATCCTTGGTCTGTTTTACCTGCTGTAGTGCTGAAGACTGTGGCTGTGTGTACGCTGAGCCTCAAGGTCTTCACCATAAAGCAAAAGCAGACTGGGGCCGTTTTGTTTTCACAGTGCACAAATCAATCAAACCACAAAACGAACTACAAATGAACCGAACCATTTTTGGGGCCGTTTAGAGGTTCTGAGTTTGTTTGATGTGTTCACATATCGCTGTTGTCGGAAGAAAACCTCATATCTCCGTTTTTGTCTTTTTTCAGTTTTTGCCGTAATCTGAGAAAAACCTGTTGCTCTTTACATTGTGTGTAAATTTCATGATGAATGGACCAAAAGAAACGACCCAAAATGACTTGGAAAAAATTCTGGTTCCATTGACTTCCATTAAAAGTAAAGCGTGTTTTTTCCTTCTCCTGTAAAGTTACCATTTTGGAGATACGAGGTTTTCTTCCGACAACAGCGATATGCATAAGAAACCATGACTCAGCGGTCTCCGTCCACTTCAGATGTGAAACGGCCCAAGTGTGACAGTGCTCAGTTCATACAGCTGACGCTGAAAAGGTTAATGGTGCCAGGCTTTGGAAGTTTGCACAGAAAGTTTTGACCTGTTTTAATGTATAATCTAAAAAAGTGACGCGTTTAAATAACAACACACTTAAGTTGGACCATTAAATTGGATGATTTTTTTTTTTGCTCGATTTTAACGCCGATTTGCCCCTTGCCACAAATATTCCCAGTCTAAAGCGATTTTTCAGATCGGAAGAGAGTGATGGTGCGGATGATCTGTAGTGTGAGAGGAGAAACGAGTGAATCTTTAGCCCTCCGATCAGATCGAGCTCTGAAGTGATCAGAGACACTCAGATATTATCAAACACGTTTGATATTTCAAAACATTCACGAGTCCTGCAGTGAGAGACGGTCAGAGATTTACTCAGCAAGTGACTCAAACAGCCAATCAGAGAGTAGAAGAGCAGAGAAATAGGCAAAGAGACGTCTGAACAGTGGAGCGGAGACAGAGGAGCTGTGAGTAAAACAGCAGATAAGAGCCGATATCATGTTTATAACGTTGATCCCGACGTCAAAACACTCTGTTTACAGCTTCAGCTCAGCTTTCACTGTGATATCAGCACTTCTCACCACTTATTAACACCATGAGATCTGAGGAGATCTGGGAGTTTGAGTTCTTACTCATAGCTGAAGCTCGTTATGTGTGTTATTCTCTCTCTTTGCCGTGTCATCCAGTCTGAGCACCTCACGACAAAAAGACAAGACACTCTGTGGCAAACTGACATTAAGTGTGTGATGCTCTCCGTTTTAGAAATCTGTTAAGATTTTAAAGTTCGTCTAGTGACGCCCGGCCTTGCCTGTCTTACCCATTTTAACACTTTTTGTGTCATATTATTTTCTGGTTTAACACATTTTGTGTTAAAACTAACAAAGAATGTGTCGTCTCCAACTGAACACCTGACGTGTCTAGTTCGAGACAGCATGTGTTGTTTTTTAGCACATCTGTTTTTAGAGTCCTTTTTTTGTACCGTCTGTCTTTTCTCAGTTTCAACAAAAGTAGAATGAATCAGTTGCAGTGCACGCCTATAAATCTCCTTTTTTCCTTTTTTAGAATAGTACAACAGTTTCTCGCTGGACTTTTTGCCAATTCAGGAGTTCCAGGTTCACCTCCACTGTCATGGTAAATGAAAACATCACTTTCAAATCAGCCAATGTCATAAATCAAATGCTTATTCTGAGCCGGAAGCTGAAATCTGTTTGAGTTTATTAACTTATTAATTCATTTATATTACAGTAAGTCACAGGATGCCCGTATGAGCTTAAATGTGCTATTTTGTGAGCATAACTGTCTGTTTGTGTGATGTTAGGACGGGGATGCTGCACTCGAACCCTGGTGACTACGCCTGGGGACAGGGGGGTTTGGATGCCGTCATTACACAGGTATCAAAAAACCTAGACATGTTAAAAAACAAAACATGACATCCATGCAGATTTATTACAGTATCATTTTGTTGCATTTTCTGATGAATAATTGACTCTAAATGTAGGTATTGTGATATAAACTGAATCCTCAGTTGACTGATTCTCTCTCTCTCTGTTTCTCTCTCTCTCTCTCTCTCTCTCAGTTACTGGGTCAGTTTGAGAACACAGGTCCTCCTCCTGCAGACAAAGAGAAGATCTCCTCCCTCCCTACAGTCATCGTCTCTCAGGAACAGGCTGGTCAGTCTCGTTATAAGAAACTCTGCTGAACTCATTGCTTCAGTTGCTGGTCAGATAAAAAACATCAGTGGCAGGAATACTGGAATCATATCTGTATCAGCAGATAATTGATTAAAAAAAACTGCATCGGACAGATTTGACTGCTAGTTTGACCACTATAGCTGTTCTCTGTAATGCTAATCCAGGTGAATTTGGTCCCAATTATATCAGCTTTGTGTCGTATGAAAAATATCAGATGTTGGCATCGCTCCACGTTTCCCATATCTGTGCATCCCTAAAGATCAGAACACCTGTTTCACTTCACATTTTAACTGAATAGTTCCGTTATAAATGCTAAGGTTGCTAATAGTGAACGAAGGTGAATAGCAGCTAGCAGTTAGCATGACAGCTTGCATTCATTTTAGTCAGGTTGGCATATTTAGGAGTAGCTGAACTTCTACTTTAAAGCTGCACTGTGTAAGATTCGGGGATTTGGCGACCTCTCTGGCAGAAGTGTATTATTGCATGTAATGTGCGGAAGAACATTTTGTAGCATGGGTCGTGCCTCGGACCCCCGCAAGTGGATGAATCTGACTTTTGCGAGTGGGTTGAACGAGAATTCAATGAGAACTCAGTCAGAACTTATATAATTTTTTTTTTTTAAATTAATTAATTTATTTATTTATTTTTATTCAACTTCAGTAGACACTGGACATTAACCTCTTATGCTCGTGGATATATTTCGGTTTTTCCATCTGAATTTACCTGCCCAAATCATAAGGCAAATTATTCAGTAACTGAATGAAAGTAACAGTAGATTTTTTTTTTTGTAAAAGTTCCCCTCAAATTAACAGAAAATGTGTTTTATGATCATAACCATATTGCTATATGCTTGCAATTTACTGCTGAAAGCCAAAAATCCTAGATGCTCTTTGTATTTTTTTTATAAAAAATCATTTTTACAGTGCAGATCACTAAAGAGACGCCATCCGTGATCCAGTTTGTAGCTCAGATTTGTGGAAAAATGAGTCGACTTTCAGTAGAAAATTGTTCAGCTTCTTGTATCATAAAGTTTTAACCCATCTGTTTGACTGGAAAGAAGACAGTTACAGCTCTCATATGACCCCCACCTTTAGAATGAAGCTTATGAAATATGAAAGTTATAAAGTAAAGAATATGATGAAGTGTGGTTTGGAACCACCGGTGGTTCCAAGGAGTTACAGGTTAAACTGTGTCATGCATCACATGTTCAATTGATCAATTGATCAATAACATAATCCAGCTACTGTAGATGAAGTCAGTGTAATATCATTAAGAAGACCACACTGGCCACACGGCTTGTAGTTTGGAAAATGATTGTCTTATAACAGTCAAGTTCAGCATGACACATCAAAGTGTTTTATTATCTCAGAAAACATCACTCAAGAAGTGCTACAAGCCGGAACCGTGAAGAAAAAATTCAGCCAATATAAATGAACCACCTGAGGAAAGTGCCAAAGTAAAAACCATTAGATGGCATCCACTGTTCAACGTGGACTTAAAGGGGAATTCCACCCATTTTTCAAATGCATAATTTGGTGGTGGAGATGTAAACAAAGTCATTCAGAGTGGTTTGATGCGAAATGGTCCACCGTAGAGAAACTTAAGAGACTCTAATTTTATATTTAATTTACTTTTTTAATTTCCTGTTTTGTGTAGTGTCCAAACACACCAGTGAACCTACATGTGACTTCTGAGTTTTCAATGTAATGGTTAATGTAATGTAATGGAAGATGGTAAAATAATGGATAATTTGAAAAAAAAAAAAGTTGTCTTTGGGGACTATTTTGCTTAAATGGATTAAAAAGTATATGTTTTAGGCCAAAACATTCTCAAAACTGTCATAAAACAATGTCTCAGACACTGAAGCGCTTCACATCAAACCACTTCAAACGAGTATGCCTGCATCTCAGTCCATCAGATTTAATAGAGCATTTAAAGATAAACCATAGCAAAGAGCACAGTGGCTCTTCATAGCTTCAAAACTGTTCAAATGAAACTGCCATTCATTTCAGCGTAGCACGCTTTGTTTGTGACCCAGAACACAGATTTTACCAAAATAAAACATTTTAAAATGTTGAATTGTATAAATATCAGGAATTAAAGGCACCTGTTGATGAGTCAGGTTAGAGTCAGGATCAGGTATCAGTTCATGATCTGTATTGGAAGGGAAAAAATGTTTATCATTCATCCTTATTTAGAAGAATTTCAGATGGTATACCAGATAAACAATTACATTGCTACAAGGCAGGTATTCCTCTTGACCTCCTCTCTCTCTCCCTCTCTCAGACAGCAGTATGGAGTGTCCGGTGTGTAAAGAGGACTACACGGTCGGAGAGCCGGTCAGGCAGCTGCCCTGTAACCACTTCTTCCACAGCGACTGCATCGTACCCTGGCTAGAACTGGTAAGACTGGGATGGGAGTGAAGATTCATAAAAAAAACACAGGAGGGACAAGGGGTAAAGAAGAGGTGGGGCAGAGGAGTCTGTGGCTGTGGCTTACAGTGGTTTTCCACAGTCGAGAGGGGTTGTTGTAGGGCTGGGCGATTAATCGAAAAGTAATCGAAACCGACATTCAGAACCTCTATCCGACATAATTTACTACTGCGCGTGTATCACGTGACTTCGCCACGTCCAGTCTGTGACGTGGAAGCTAAGGCTACGTTCACACAGCAGGTAAAAGTGGCCCAAATCTGATTTTCTCACCAAATCTGATATTTTTTTGTTTGGCTGTTCACATTATCTTCTAAATGTATCTTCTCACATCTTTGGTTCGCGTCCTCAGATTCTTTAAATATTGTTTTCAGACTTTTATCTGTTCTTTGACGCTGCAGCCTCGTTGTCCTGCGGCCGCATTCGGACATTTCTTTAGAAATCTCTTCAAACACGGAGCGTTTTGGATGAGACTCTTCTAACTTTTGTACAGAAATATCACCCCAAATATTTGAGTCTCAGCAGCGCGAAATTATGACTGATGTTGAGTTGGATTGACGTAAAAGTGAATTCCGATCTGGCTGTTGAGACAATTTTCATTAAGATATGCAGAGCATATTTACAGTACAAACCTTTTAAGTGAACTATACAAAAAAACACAAACAAAAAAAATCATTCATTAATCGTAATCGAGGTAAAACATTCAGTTAATCATGATATTGATTTGAGGTCATATCGCCCAGCACTAGGTTGTTGGTATATTCAAGGGGCTGCTTGGCCTAGAACCCATGTGTCAAACACAAGGCCTGCGGGCCAGATCAGGCCCGTGGCACAATCCAATCCGGCCCTCGAAATTATTTAGATTTTCTATTAATATTAGCTCATTTTACAATCAGCAGCACTACAATCCCGTAATTTATGCTGACACCCTACTCCCAACAGCTCTCTACAGGACAGCAGTTTTCTACCCAGATGCACATGTTGTATCAGTGATGTCACAGAACCTCCCCTTCCCTCGCACACATTCACTCATTCTCTCTCTCTCTCTCTCTTTCTCTCTCTCTCTCTCTCTGCCTGCAGCACGACACGTGTCCCGTGTGCAGGAAGAGTTTGAATGGAGAGGACAGCAGCAGCAACCAGCCTCCGTCAGAGCCATCCCTAAACACTGACCCCCGCACACAGGAGAGATGGTCCTTCTGAGACCCCTACGCTTCGTCTCATCTCTGCGCTCTCTCTCTCACACACTCTCTGTCTGACTCGCCCGTGAGAGTTTGCCGCTGTTAGGCGATGTCCAGACGACGCCTTTTTAAACGCGAGGCCTCGTGCTTTTCTTCCAGTGGCGTCCTCAATGTTGAGCGGTCAGCAGTAGGTGACGTTCGGTGCTCTTGGTGAGCACTCAGCACAGAAGGTGACCGTTTTTCTGCACAAACGTGCAGTTTAAACCCAGGATAAAGAAGATTTCAGTCGCAGCGCTTCAGACACAGAGAAGAAGCGCACACAGGTTTGAAAAGGCGTCGTCTGAACACTCGCAACGGCTTTCCGTCTTAATGCTGTCCTCTCTCTCTCCCTCTCTCTCTCTCCTCTTTCAAGTCTCTTTCTTCCTCTGTTATCTCGCAATTTTTTTGCCTTTCTCCCTCTATTCTTAATTTTCTTTCTCTCCGTTCTCCTTCGCTCCACTTTTTTGTTACTTTTTCACCTTTTTTGTTCTTTTTCACTTTTATACTCTCTCTCAACTTTTGTTTTTCTCCCCATTCTTTCTTTGTCTTCTCTTTCTTTCTCTTTCCATTCTTTCTCTCTTTTTCTCTCTGTTTTTCCCTCTACCTCTCTCTCTCCTCTCACTCTCTCTTACCACACTCGTACGGTTTACTACGGCTTGTTTACTGTTTTACTGTTCATCTCTCTCGCGCTCTGTCCATCGTGGCCTGTCCTTTCTCTGTGTCTACATTTACACTCTGACAAATTTTGTTCCATTTTTTTTTTTTTGGTTTTGCATTTGGTTTCACCTCCTGCCTTCTCACTTTACTGGTACTGGAGACCCCCCCACCTCGACCCCCCCACCCACACAAACCGCCACCACAAGCCGAGTTGCAGAATGTACAGTGCACCACTTCCTGTAAAGCCGAAGTCTACAGGCTCCATAGATCCAGACCGTGTTCAATGTGAAACCCGATCGCCGTGCGGTTACAGTGTCTTCAGTTTAAAAACGTGCTTTATTCCTCACGCCGCTCTCTAACGTTCTGTTGCTCTTTGTTTGCTCACTCTTTCCATCTTCATAGGAAGAGTCCATCGTTTGATTCTGATCTCTATCTGCAGAGTGTGATCGATGACCACGGACAAGAACTTCAACACGTCTCCCTGATCTTAGAACGGAAAACCAGTCGACTTGAAACAGAAGCAGCTGCTAAGTTCTGTCAGTTGAAGTTACTTTGTAAAGCATGTAGATTCTCCACAGGCTGTAAATTAAGCTGTAAATATGTGTTCCAGAGGGAAGACTTTGGTAATTCACAGGATCTGCTTTGATGATCATGGATACAAGAAAATCTTAGGGAAGGTGAAAGTGACCGGAACTACTTTTGTGTTTCTCCAATGATGCGAAGTTGAACAAAACTTGACAAGAACAGTTTTAGTACGATATTCTCTCTGTTTATCATCCTAACTGCTACAGTGGATCAGCTGGAGTTTCACATTTATGTTATATAGACTCTTATTTTAAACATTTTCCCACAATTCAGCTGCCGGTTGAGCTCTATTATAAGCGATTTTTGACTTAATGGATTTTCTATTCCAGAAGTTCAGTGAAACGTATTGAAATCCTTGTCTTTAGTAAGTGATCATGCTCTGTAGATGGAGATCAGGTTGAAAAACGCTGGTGTGCTCCTTTAAAGACCTGTTTGTGGGATCACGCCGTCTTGTCTGGGTAATTGTTTCTCCCTTCTGCACCTCTTTCTGGTGTATATATCACAGACCCATCTACACCCAGTTCTCCACTTTTCACTCTCATTTGTATCACTTTTTTTGTAAATAATTTTAGTTCCAAAACTCATTCAAAGAAAAGCAAAAGCATACGGAAATGACAAAATGACGAATCCCTAAATATTAAAATATATATTATATATATGATGTGTACGATGACGATGATGTATTAATAATAAAACTGAATAAAAATCAATTCCATGTTGATCTTGCTAATACAGGCTTACATGAGTTGGTTACACATTTGCACAGGAGCCATGGAGACTTTTCGATTTCATAATTTTTATTTTCAGAACTTTATTATGCACAGCATAGTTAATCCAGTGATAAATGCTCACTTTTGTCCCAAATTAGTGCATTTTTACAGACGAGATTGATGTTTAACACATTCATTTATTTATTTTTTTATTGGCATGAAACATTTTGGCACACAGTCACAATGCTTATCTAGTGCTTATCAGAGGGGGAAAAAAAGGGCATTAACACAGGGAGATTCACTCGAAAGAGGCCCGAATATTCTGCTGTAACTCTTGTTGGGATGAAGCAATCTGAACCAAAAAATCCGCTACATAACTTGACATGTGTGATTGATTGCATTACATGTGATGCTGGAAGTGATCCCTGTTTTCTGCCAGACACATGAAGGGGTACGGGGGTCTGCACCTGGAAGTTGCAAACGGAGGTTAAACGTCACGACGGCTGTCTGTTTGGTTCAGATTGATTCATCCTAGAAAGAGTTATTACAGAATATTCGGGGCCTCTTTCGAATGAATCTCCCTGTACATTTTAAGTTCATCTAATCAGATTCTTGAAATGAAACTCGCATTTCGCTGCTGTTGGGACAAAACCTCGTATTTTCATTTTTTGACTATTTGAAAAAGGCAGCTGCCCTTTAGCTGTGTCCCAATTCAGGGGCTACATTTGAAGGCCGATTGCGTCACAGTGGCGTGACTAGATGTCCCATTTTGAAGGCTCCTTCATATGCGGCCGAGAAATGTGTCCTTTTTCTTGGTAACGAAGGATCCAACAGGTGCATCCTTCGCCAGCCAACAGATCCCGAGGTTCACTGCGTACCGGCGAGGATTCGAGAACATGGTGGCATCAGCAGAGGAGCGAACGGCGGCTGAGGGGACACTTTAAATGGAAGTATTGGGTTTAAACTGAGTCGAACAGCCAGCAATACAGATGTTAAAGAAAAAGCCAATCCCATCAGGCGCCGGCGGTGAAGCATCTCCAGCTTTGATAAATGGAAAAAAATAAAGATGAAAATCAAAAGTTTCTGGCTCCGTCTTCAAAGAACTTTAAAAGAACTGTGACGCAAACAGGAAATCCGCCAGAGGGCAGACCGTCTCATTTCGGTTCAGCCTTTGCGGGTCTGTGCAGCCTGTGAAGGACACGCCTTCGTAGACCGCGTCCTTCGAAGGATGCAGCCCCTGAATTGGAACACACTGTTTATGCTGTGTCAAAATTTCATGAAGGAACCAACAGAAATGGTCCAGAATTCCTTGGGAAAAAAATATTTCTCCATTAATTTCCATTAAAAGTTTTTCCTCATCCTGTAAAGTTACGAGGTTTTGTTCCGACAGCAGCGATATGTATAAAAACAGGTCAGAGTTTAACGCCAAGAACAGCAGCGAAGCTCAAAGCCAGGCTGAAATGTTCTCCCTCCACTCGTCACATACACGCTGCTCGAGATCATCATAACAGCAGGTCAGTCGTCCTGCAGTTCTGATGAGTCACTTTTCATGGTTATTGACAGATTTGCACTTGGAATCTCCTCAGTCAGTGTTAATAACAAACTTCAAGTTTCTACAACGTGATTGAGCAGCTAGACTGTTGGAGGCTGGATGGGAGGTCACGTCATCGCTGTCATATCAAAACCGACACCGCTTCAAACGTGGCAGCTGCTCTTCACGCTGTGGGAACGTCTCGTGATGAACGGACCCGTAAACGGGTCAGCTAACAAATCCTCAGTAAACACTTAAATATGACATTTTTCTGCTATGTTTAGTGCACAATTACTATTAATTTGCTAAAATTAAACAGATGTGCTGTGATTTTTGAACAGCTTTTTTAAAAATGATGCAGGTAAAGGACAAAAAGTCTTGAAATTTAAAAGCGAACAAATTCAACACAATTTAACCACCACCAAAATCTTAGAATTGAGACACTGAATATCACTGAATATCACTCTCTGTATTATGTTGTTTTCAGTTTTATTTCAGTGCTCAGAAATGTACACTGTAAAATTCAGATTTCCAAAGATCAAGCGTTCATATTCAGATAATTTTTTTCAGTGTTAACAAATTCAGATTTAATAATTCAGTACTCAGAAATTCAGACCACTTTTCAGGCTGCTAATTTCAGAATTTTAAACTAAATTTCTGAGCACTGGACAGAATTACTTTCAAGACGGTTCAACATTCATCAAATGGAGGAAGTGATTTTCCAGAATATTACATTACAGTTCTGTTATTTCAGTGGGTTTAAATGTTCATTTGAATTCAACAGCAATTCAAACTCAAATTTTGTAAACAAATATAAAGTGTTTGCATACATTCAAAAACAAAGCAACAAAATAGTTTTTTTCCATGATGCTGTCCCTTTAAAGCTCCACACTATATACTTCATTTTCATTAGAATCAACTGCAAAGTGTGTTAAAAAAAAACATCTTCAAATTCAAACTACTGACCGGTCCAGAGTGCGAGACGCTGTGGTGTAAATGAATCAGTACGTTGATCTCAAGGCTGTGATGGAATGTTAGATTATGTTTGGATACAAAATTCTCAAGCCTACATTCAAGCATGTATATGTAATAAAACTGTTTATTACATATATAAATTCTGTTTATTACATATATAAACTCTGTCTATTACATGTTTATGTCTGTCTGTATTCCACTGTGTAAGCAGCTCCTCCAGTAATGTTCGTGTATTCAGTGTGCTTTTAATAGTGATTCTGATGCACTAAAGTAACTCAGTCGTGGTGAAATTTTTGGGACGCATCAATTCATAAAGATCTGTAATGGAATCAAATCGCTGTGAGGTCAGAAGTTTGTGTGCTCGTGTGCGGAAAGACCAAATAAGCAGCTCAAACTCACGAGTAACCGTACCTCGGTTGCATTTGGGGCACCTGGCTCGTTAGTAGAGTTCTGGTACCCGAGCCGAAGCACCGAAAGACTATCGAGTTTTATATATATATATATATGTTATAGTGACTGAAAAATATGTCTCCCCATTTTTAATGCTTTTTATTTTTCTGCGTCATTTGAAGACATCAGTTCTCCTTTACATTATTTGAAAACTTAATGATGATTGGACCGATAGAAATGCCCCAAAATCAATTACAGTAAGATCTCTTTACATTAATTTACATTAAAAGTTAAGGGGGTTTTTGCCCTCTCCTGTAAAAATACAGATAACTGTTTTTCATTGGACAGCAACGCTACATAAAAGGGTCGTAGATTATGCTCTGTTTTTTGTCACATGAGCTTTTTGAAAATTTGCCAAAAATACCTAATTGTGCTTTTTTCTCTCTATATTGTAACTGTTTTTTAAAGTGCAATTATTGTCTATAAATTGAGGTTCAGGCCTGTTTTTGGTCAGGAAGACCAGCATACTGGAACTGGACATAGTGGTGGGCGATGTGGCAAAAATTTCTATCATGATTCTTCGCGATACACGATATGTATTTATTTTTTCTGACATTTGACAAAAAAGAACCCGTAATTAAACATTAAAAATACTCTCAAAAACTATGAATACAGTGATAATTATTCAGTATTTCACAAAAAGGACAAATTATGCTGTTTAACCAGACTAAACATGTATTTGGTCAGTGTTGTGCAAGAACTGCCAATATCTACGACATTATTGTGCATCACGATAAATATCGCGGTATTGCCCAGCCCTACTTCGACGCAGAACGTAGTGCACCAGACTGCCAGTCATGGGTGTTTGGGTCTGACTGGTCTGACTGTTATTAGGTTAAATTTACGCACTTTTTAAGACAACCTTGATTATACAGGTAAGCAGTATGACTATAATTATCGTTATCATGATCAAATGCATTACAATGTGTCGCAATATGCTTTTGTGAGTATACTGTGGATATCGTCAATCCTTACAACACTTCCCGACTGCACGTTTGACTACAAAAAAGCATAACTAGTCCTGGATTTAATGCAGCTTAGTATGTGAAATGTTGAACCTGTCAATATTGTCGTCCTACTTTGTCTGGTCCAACTTATGACAGAAAAAAAGAAATATGTATCATGAAAACTTCTTGAAGCATCGCGATATTGCATTTTCGCCATATCGGCCACCTCTAGGTAAAACCTCTAATTCAAACTGAGGGGTACGATTTGAAAATTCCTTCTAATTTTGATGCAAAACCATTCATCATGCAGCCCTACCCTGAACGAGAGCCTGGACAAGGTGTTGGGTGAGGAACTCTAGCATAGTGGAGCTAACAGCTGCTCAGAGGAGGGTGGAACGTGTTCTCTGCCAAAATATGCTGATAATGTCTCTCGTGTCCAAAATGGAAACTTTTTCAGGAAAAAGGAAAAAACATTGAGCCTCGTTTTCCAACATCTTCCTCAGTTTGTTCTTAAATGTGTTGTTGATAAAGGTCCTAAGAAAAAGTCTACGTCAGATTCACGACGTGTTCTTAAAGCGCAGCACTGTTCTCACCTTTGTGCTCTTGAGTGTGTAGATTCTGTTCTTACCTAAGAACAAATCCCACATAAGAAAGACGATGTCAGAATTTTCGTAAAAACTGCGTAAATGGGTTTTAAGAAGAAATTTGTTAAGAACGGTTGGTGAATGAGTCCCATTCTTCACTTATAATGGAAGTTAATGTAAGAAGGGTTTTGGAGCGTTACTATTGGTCCATTTATCATTAAATGTTCACATGACGTAGTCGGCAGCTGGGGCTGACAAATTATGTGGAAAGGGAAGTTGACTAAATATAGTGACGAAATACTGATAGTGTATTCCAGATGTGTAAAGTGACCCTTAATACTGTCCAACTCAAGCGCTCAGTCTGAGATAATCCACCTCTGTGAGTGTGTGCGAGTGGGTTTGGGTCCAGCTTGGGTTTTTAAATTTGACGAGTGTTTTTAAAACAGCCAGGTCATTTCGGGCTTCAATTTCATGTCCATGCAGCTGTCAACTTATTACTTTAAATGAAAGCACATTAGTTACGATATGCAGTTGAAATATTTTTCAAGTTGTTGATTGACAATAGCTGCTTTCCAAAGCCGAGGTCTGCTGCGTTTCTCGGCCGATACATCATACAGGCCGTTCCAAAGTGAAGGACCCTTCGTATGCATTTTGAAACTTGCATGAAACTTGAATTGCACTTGAGTTGCATAACGTAAGCATCCTGCAACTCACTTGAAACTTGGCCGCAACAGCTGCAAGCATCAAACAAGTTTCATGAAATGCAGCCTACGTTCGGAGTGATTTCAAGGACGCATTAGATGCATCCTTACAGGCATTTGGTTACCCACAGTTCTCTGCGAAAAAATCAGCACCACAAATAGGGCGGAAAACGAAGCCGTTGGTGCGGAGCTTGTTTTAAAGTTTAAGTTGCTTGCATTAATTTGTCTTCGTTACTTAATAAAGTGTAAAACGACTGATTAATTAAAGTGTTCGTCCGTATATCGTGTATCGTCCAGCCCAGGCTTTGGAACACAGCAAATGTCTGAAATGTCTTTTTTGAGAGTTTGATACTGAGAGCATAGTCTGAGTGTAGCTCAGAGCCGTGTGCGTTCCTTCCACTCCTGTTTGGAGAGTAAAGGGTTAATCAGGACCTGTTCCAGAGCAGCGTGAGGATGGAGTGAGGAGGAGCGCTGGAGGGTAAAAAGCCCACCGTCTGATCCCACACTTCAAAAGGAACCTCCACACCAGACCTGCAGGTTTTAAACATACAGAGTGCATTATAATGCAGAACTCTCCAGTCTCACAGCGCAGCCACTATCCATCATTAGGGCACATCATTCTTCAGCCTGACCTCTATCTGCTGCGTCTGTAACCTGTGGTCAATTATCAGAGTCGATCATTTCAACATGTTAGGAAATAACAGAAAATGCACTGACTCTAAACTCATTAGCATGTTGAAACTTGCATGAAACAGAACTGCACTTGAGTTGCATAACGTAAGCATCCTGCAACACATGATCGGCTGCTGTCGAACAACATGTTCAAACCATTGACCATTATCAGTTGACAAGGAGAACAGAATGTGGTTTATTGGGCAGTTGAAAAGGAGACCCCCTTAAATATTAATTAAATAAACAATCATTTTCAAACATACAACACAATTATTAAAAACTCATATACAGTAACCCTAGATAAACAGATAAAAAAACATATATAGATATATAAACATTTTCTTTCGAAGCTGTAAAGAATATGCAAAGATGATAAAAATGCTGTAAATATGTAAATTACACTTCCTGGATGACTTAATAGCATGAACGATACGGTGTATCTAGTGGAGTAACTCAATGTCACATGCAACTTTGTTTTTGAATTGTTTTGTGTAACTGTCAAGATGGAAGTTGCAGGCAACTCACAGCATGCAACTAGTTGCGTTAAAGTTTCACAGTGTAAAAGACAGTTTATTAGAAACCAATGAGCAGTTGCTGAATTCCACGAATTAACATTTACATTAAGCACGTATTTGTGTAGAACATGCATTCATAACTTCTTCAGTTAAAAGGTGTTTGTAAATGAATCAGTATAATTCATTATATCAGAAATGGGACTAGTTTTCAAAAGGGTAGAAGGTGTAGTAATCCTTTCTGAGCAAAGCTGCGGGGCGGAGTTTTGCCTGATCGCCAAGGATGTATCCTTACGTATCCTCACGTAAGCCGTAACCATTTTTAATTAATCAACCAACCGTTACTGTTTATATATCCCAAAAAAGGAAGAGTTTTAGGCATTTTAATTTTTTCAAGTTGGGTCCCAGTATTTATCATGTTTTCATGAATAACCCATCTGTGGAGCCTGTGAAAACCTGGTTGGTATAGTGTAGTGGGTCACACCTCTGCCTTCTACACTGTAGACTGGGGTTCAATCCCCACCTGGGTAAACAGCCTACACTATACCAATAAGAGTCCCGGGGCAAGACTCCTAACACTCCCTTCACCCACCTGTGTAAAATGATCAAACTGTAAGTCGCTCTGGATAAGAGCGTCTGCCAAATGCCGTAAATGTAAAACTCTGCTGATAATCAATTACCACAAAGTCTAACCCCTCTGGAAAACCAGTTGTATCTCAGAAATCTGAAAGTTATAGAATTACAGTTTTATATATAATATATATGTTTTATATAAATATATGTATATATTCGAAGAGTTCAAAAGTGTTCGCTAACATTTATTAGCTGAATGCTGAATTCCATGGATAAATGTTCATTCATACCATTGAAATCATTAAGGACTTAGGCTGGCTTTATGCAGTGAAACTTTCATGCAACTAGTTTCATGCAACATAACTTCTGTGCAACTGTGCAGCCAATTAGAAAACAAAGTTGCATGCAACACAATGGTTTTATTCCACAAGATGGCTCAATTAGCTATTTTGTCAAACACATCTTATCATGCTATATAAAAATCATATGCAATGTGTTTTACATTTGCATATTTGCAGCATGTTTATCATCTTTGTATTTTCACCGGCTGTCAGTGTCATCCTATTTTTCTATATCTAACGTCTATATACCTTTGGCTGTTTTTAATATATCACAAAGTCTTCTAGTTGAAAGTCGAGAGAGGAGAAAATGAATCTAGCTACATATCTACATAGATCACAGTAACAGCAGGATGAAGACGAATATATGTCTATTCATAATGTTTATATTCTTAATTCATCACCATTCCTATGTGCAATATTATCAATACTCCATGTTCTATTCATGTAAAATATCCTTATAGTATTTAAATTTTTTTTTGCGTTTTATGTTTAGATTGTAAATTGTTGAGTTTATGTGAAGAATATAATTTAAAAAAATATATTTTTACATTTTTTTATCTTTAGTATGTCTATTCAGTAATAAGTAACAAACTGTCATTAACAAGGTAAGTAATTAATAAGGTTATAAGTAATTAATAAGGTTAATTACCTTGTTTGTTAATTCTCTTCTTGTTACTTCCTTTCTTGAGTGCCTGGCTCTCCCTTTGCTGCTGTAGCACCGTGAATTTCTCCCATTGTGGGACTTATAAAGAATTATCTAATAAGCGGCACAAGCAGCGGTTTGAACAGCTGTTAGCGTTAGCTGGTTAAAACAGCTGGTTACAGAAACGTTTAATTTGACTCAGGTAACTGACAAAATTAAAACCTACCAACTGAAGTTAGTCAAGAGGATCTCATCTGCAATCCTCCAATAAGTCATGCTCTGTTCTGTTTTCTTGTCCATTAATCAGAGAAATCAATCATTTCATTCTTTAAAAGAAAGATCAATAAGTTCAATCACACAGACGCTCCTATCACACGGCTTTCAGGAGGAACAGTTCATCACCTAATTCACACTCATTTCTCACCTGTTCAGAACGATCAGCACCGCTGAGCCGTCAGGTCTGATGAAGGCGGAGCTTTCCAGGGCGGAGTGTTTGGTAACTGACACGCCCACTCTCTGAGACCCCTCCCACAGGAACTTACTTTATTTATTGAAAGAGAATAACAAAGTTAACACAAGACTCACTTCACTGTCCAGGCAGGGCTGCACGATATGATCAAAACACTAGTATTGTGATCACGTTGCTACATATTGTGATTGTAATATAACTCATGATAGAATACACTGAAAGCACTGCTGTAGCAGATACATAATGAAAAAGAGGTGGGTAATATGGCATTTTGTAGTCGGCGCCATGCTCTTATGCCCATATTAGGAACTCCGGGTCTGAGCTCCATTTCTCTATGGCCAGAATGAATAGGGTTTCCGAAAAAATCGCCTCTAGCGCCCCCTGGGTTAAATAAAAGTGTTCAGAACCCGACACGTTTAGTCCTGTGAACATTCTTCTCTTGAATACCACTGGATCCTCTGAATTATGAGGTCATTAAAGAGTTGAAATATGAATTTTGAGCTAAAGCTACTGCGCTCTGAATTCACATCATTAGACTGGCAGCCTCCTTAATCAGGTTATCACCCACTGATAAGCTGATTTTGGCTCTGAGAATATCCTAATTATTATTTTAATGCTGGTAACATTTTCTGAGGACACTTTATCAGGACGTTCCCCAGCTTTTTGTTCGACTTTTCCCGTTCCACCTTAAATGGTGCAGCAGTCACGTTCTGAACCTTAAAGTGAAACGGGGACATTCGAACAAGCAGCCGGCGAAAAAGAAGCCGGTTTCAGCTTCATGGAGGGTTGAAAGGCCTGATATGAGGAGGTTTCTCTGTTTCCGCTTAACAGAGTAACATCAACTTATTTTTGCTGTTTCACAGAACCGACAGGTCAGTGTTTTGTCTCGTTTGCTATTGTTTGTGATAGCTAGTCACAGCTGCTGCACCATTTAAGGTGGAATGGGAACATTCAAACAAGAAGCTGCGAAAAAAGAAGCCAAATTCAGCCTCGTAGTTTTAATGCTGGTAGTATTTTAGTCTGTCAAAATATCTCACCTGGAGGTTTTATTTACGAGTATACCCATAAATATGCGCTACAGTAGAACATTTCAATAAGGTTGCACAGCTTGTGGTCTATTGTTTTTTCTTCTAGATACAGATACACATTACTGCACTACTGAAGCCTCTGGAAGTAAATGTTCCCCACAGACTTGCAGCACCGATTTGCACTGATATTTAAAGGCCTTTTTCTTGAAGATATGCATCAGAACTGGATGTGTATTTTGTTTTCTGCAGAGCACAACATCCAATTTTTCTTAATATAATGCATTTTTATTTAAAAAAAAGTTGTTATTCCATTTGATTCCTATCATGATAATAATGCTAATTAGTGCCTCTATGGGAATCTCTATGTAATGTTAGCATGATGCAAGATGCACTCCCACTTCTCCATGCTGGGTCAGCCGAGAGCTCAATAAACTAAAACCACATGTATGTATGTACGTATATATGTATGTATATATGCAGATAAGACAGTCCAGTCCATAAGTATTTGGACAGTGACACAATTTTTGTAATTTTCTCCTTAATTTGTCATGAAATAGCAGCGAACAGGAAACTGCTGCAGTTTGAACACTGTGTCCACTCACTGTCCACTCTATTAGACACTCCTACCTTGCTGGTCCACCTTGTAGATGTAAAGTCAGAGACGATAGCTCATCTGCTGCTGCACAGTTTGTGTTGGTCATCCTCTAGTCCTTCATCAGTGGTCACAGGACCCTGCCCACAGGTTTTTGGTTCTCAGTCCAGCAACAACACAGCAGCACTGCTTTGTCTGATCTACTTGTACCAGCACAACACACACTAACATGCCACCGCCATGTCAGTGTCACTGCAGTGCTGAAAATGACCCACCACCCATATAATACCTGCTCTGTGGGGGTCCTGACCATTGAAGAACAGGGTGCAGAGAAACAGATGGACTACAGTCTGTAACTGTAGAACTACAGAGTGAAACTATGTGGTCAGTAGAGCTGATAAAATGGACAATGAGTGTAGAAACAAGATAGCTGTACCTAATAAAGTGCTCAGTGATAGTTTCTCAGTTTCTACTCATTTCTGTTGAGCTGCTTCTCCTGCTCTGCTTTGCTGCTGCTCAGTCGTCTCACTTTGGAGCTTCAGCGTTTTATTTTAGAGCAAAAAAGAGAAGAACAGAGTCGTACAAACGTCAGTTCCTCTGCTGAGAGACGCTGGACGTTCTCAGAAGTTCTCAGCACTTCAGTAGTTTTTTAAGCTGTTATGCTTTTACATTTACTGCAGTCGTTATTTCACTACAGTAACAGTACTTTTACTGGACAACAGGTTCTTCTGTTGGACTTTATTATCACCTTATTTCATTAAAACACCCACAGAGGCTCGTCTGGAGCTGTGACCGGTCAGGCTGCTCACAGCACGCCAATGTTGCAAAAGCCAATATCGCAATAACGATGAACAAACATGCAACTGTGTTTCCAAAGAACGGACCAGTTCAGCGAGATAAAGACGACAGCTGCTCTTCAGAGCTTCTACTGAAAAATGCAGAAACGTTCCAGCTGGTTGTGATGAAAGTTTTATAGGTCAGTCAGATCTGAGCTGCTCTGTTTAAGGTCAGAGGCCCTTCAGTGAGTGCAGTAAAAGTGGATCATCAAACCGCGCAGACTCTGAACGACTCATACAGAAATAACATCAACAGTACCAATCAGCTGCACCAGCGCTCACACGTTTAGGGTCACCTGTTTTATTAGGTCATTTTTACATATATAAAATAAACTATGCAGTATAGATTTAACATAAACACCAGAATTTGAAATACCATATTTCAAGTATTTGGGCAAGTTATTAAATGATAAATAATATACTGTATTTGTCTATTAACAATAGATTTTTTAGCTTTGTGCCTCAAGGCCTGATCAAAATTTCTGAAATATAAGATGTTCTGGTTAGTAATTTTATTAGAACTGCATTCTGGATAATAATGCTGTCAGAACCTCTTTCTGGATATTAATTTTCTTAGAACTTCATCCTAGATATTAATTTTATCAGAACTTCATTCTGGATATTAATTTTATTAGAACTTCATTCTGGATATTAATTTTATTAGAACTTCATTCTGGATATTAATTTTCTTAGAACTTCATTCTAGATATTAGCCTTATCAGAACTTCATTCTGGATATTAATTTTATTAGAACTTCATTCTGGAAATTAATTTTATTAGAACTTCATTCTGGATATTAAGTTTATTAGAACTTCATTCTGGATATTAATTTTATTAGAACTTCATTCTGGATATTAATTTTATTACAACTTCATTCTGGATATTAAGTTTATTAGAACTTCATTCTGGATATTAATTTTATTAGAAATTTATTCTAGATATTCTATATTTAATGTTTGTGTAGCTGAGCTGGTTTAACATCATTGAGACTGTTTGTAGTGTATGTCTGGATGTTTGGGGGTCAGGCTGCGGTGAAGCGTTCTGACCTGAAGTGGGCCATGCTGTAGAAGGTGGGCTGCTTGTAGAAGACGTCCCTGCTGTGGTCCACGATGATGGCGCTGTCCACGAAATTCTTCGCCCAGTTCGGCCCACCGTCCTGATCTAGCGCTAAATTCCAGTCCGTCCATCCCGTCACGTAGTTATTCAGGTCCTGCGGTCGAAGGTCGAAGGTCGAAGGAGGGAATAAAAACAGAGATCAGAGAGATTCTCACACATGATAACTGCCACCATTTTACAGTCAACCTGAAAACTGACCTTTTGACCTTATCAGCACATGTTCCTGGTCATGTTGAGCATAATTCATCATTTAAAAGACTACGTTTCTGATTTTCTGTAATCTTCCATCAAAATGTAATGACTTGAGCAATGATTTAATTATTTTAGCAAATTACTTTTAAAGTTCTGTGGAAAACAGTAATAATGCCTATTTATAGCAGATATTACAGTATATTCAACGGACTAGGACTGTACAACAGATTTCATAAACTTCTTGACCCTGAAATCTGATCTGTTTGGTCTCCATGACGACTGAATTCAGGACAGTATCTATTACAGAATAACAGTTCCTAACTTCATAATCTCATCATGAACTCCAGGTAAGAAAACAGCATCACACAAACATCCTAACTGGATTAAACCTCCTAAATCCTGTCCTAACTTTAGGATGAACCCCAACAGGGTCCTCACTTCTGTTTAAGGTCCGTTTCTATGGTTTTTAGGCAGCTGAGTCAGCAGCATAGTTCACTACCAGCATAATGAGCTCCATTTATTCCTACTGTAAAACGCTGCTTTCACTGTGAGATGATTTTCTTTTCTAACTCTGCGTTTTAAAGATCTCAGACGCTGCAGACTCGATCTCCACCGCCCCTCTGATCACCTTCGTGTGTTAATGTTGATGATGAAATATTACAGTGATGGTGGTGAATAATGAGGAGACGGAGCTGAGCGTGTGTCTGTTTATTAGGAGGAGTAACGTTAGCGCGCTCGGCTAAAGCGTTTGGGAAATGGAGACTGAAACTGGGGAGCGGCGACGCTCTGATAAACAGCAGGGGGCACCCTCACATTGTTTACAACCTACAGTTTATCACACTTTAGTTTTGTTTGACCTTTTTACATCAGTAACGGTAGCTGTCCGGCTAACAAACTTGATTATTTTGATTACGTGTTTACGTTTGAGCTGGGTGAGTATGGTCGTTTGCTAGGCAACAGACATGAAAGTTGATTGCTGACTATTGATCGAGCAGGTTAAGATTTTCTAACGTGAGATAAGATGCTCCTAAATTAAGGTAGGATTTACTTCTTTAAAACAAATTTGTGAAAAATCTTATCTTGACCTGTCAGATCTTAAATTAAGACAAAAAATAGGAAGTTTCTGTAATTCGGTGCCTGAACCTGAATAATCTTGCACTGAGAGAGAGGAGAGAGAGGAGAGAGAGAGACAGGCAGAGAGACAGCCACCATCACAGTTTAGTGTTTACACAAAGTTAGAACTCATACAGTCAGCAAAACCTGTTCCACAAAAGGCCATGTGACTGCCCTTAACTGACCCAGTCTGACTGACTCTGTCTACAACCTCCAGATAACACTTCCACTCCAGTGTGAACTATTATAAAGAAATTTAACAACAAAGGCAATCTGAAATTAAAATGTGAATAGGGCCTATATTATTTATTTCTCTTGTATTTTATTCTTTTTTTCCTTGACTACGGTTAAAGTTTTTCATAAAATTATACATATATTTCATACTAAAATCACAAGACCAATCTTAATCATAGACTGCATTATCAACAATGCAATCTTAACACGTTTTAGGGAAAAAATGTATGTAATAACACTAAACAACCACAACTAACTGGCAGTCTGGGGCCGTATTACAGATCTGCTTTGCTGTCATGGTAACTTTAGTTAAGACTGAAATTAGGACAGAAGCCATTACAGAACAACAGTTCTTAAGTCTATAATCTTATCTTATTTCCAGATAAGAAAACGGTATTATAGAAACATGCGGCACCGTCTGGGGTTTTAAAACGCTTTACAAAAAAAAAACCCTCAAAAGTCAAAGCACCATTTTCAATGTAGATAAATGGAGCGTCAATATGCTGGTTATAGTGAACTGTGCTGCCTGTTACTGCATAAAACAATAGAAACAGATGGTTAAAACAGAAGTGAGGACCCTGTTGGGGTTCATCCTAAAGTTAGGACAGGATTTAGGAGGTTTAGTCTAGTTAGGATGTTTGTGTGATGCTGTTTTCTTATCTGGAGTTCATGATGAGATTATGACCTTAATAACTGTTGTTCTGTAATAGCTACTGTCCTAAATTGAGTCCTAACTGACGTTGTCATGGTGACTAAGCAGATAAGATTTCAGACTTAAGACGTTTCTGTAATATCTTAATTTATAAAAAACAGATCTACTGATAATGTTTGTGGGGCTGCTCTGTATTCTGCCTCATTCACAAAAGCACTCCAGGGTGAAACTGTTCTGTTTGGGCCCCAGAAAAAAATAACGAGCTTCAGCCGCTCCGATCATATGTGCAGCGATCCGTTTGCTTCCCGACAGCCATGAGCAGTACAACGTTTAATCATTTTTCCACATCTCGCCCTCCAATAACTACAGACTGTCTGCAGGAACGACACTCCATATCACTTCAACAGGAACAGGAGGGACTAAACTGATGTAGACTGAATTGGCAGACGTGCAAATGTGACATCACAACCCTGATGAATTCAAAACGGGCTGTTTTTGCGGCGTAGTATCCATATGTAGGCCAGTATACGTATTACAGTATATAAATATGAAATTAATGGATCCAAAGTGGCTCATGTGGCGAATCAGGTACCTCTATAATATCACTGGCGTAGTCCTCAGCTCTCTTCCAGCTGCCCAGTCGCACACCCCGGTCAAAGCCGGTCCAGCCAGAACAGGCCTCAGTGCCAAACAGGAAGTACTCAGGGTAGAGGTCGTGCGTGGTTCCTAGAGTGATTTTGGCGGGAGTGAAGTTGTCCCAGTACCAGTGGAGTCCGATGCCGTGGACGTAGCGCGCAGCGTGAATATCACTCAGAACCTGCAGCGGAACAGAGAAACACTCAGGCGTCCGACAGTCTGGACTGTTTAGTCCTTTAACTGCAAGTTGGTCTTTTAATTATCTCATACCTTAATATGCTTTCGCCACATTAACTAGTTCCACGCTTTACAAAGCCATGGCCAAGACTTATCTTATTCCCACGCTTTAGTAAGTCCTGGTCACTACTTAATTATCTAGTCTCCACATCTCATCTCGTTCCCTCACGTTCCCTTGCCTTACAACTTAATTATCTCGTTCCCACACCTTACTAAATCATGGATATTTAGAAACATGGAAACCTAGTTTTCCACGCCTTACGAAGTCACTACATACTTATCTTGTTCTCAGGCCTTATTAATTCATGAGTACAACTTAACTCATTCTCACACCTTACTAAGTCATGGCTACTACATAATTATCTCATTCTCACACCTTACTAAGTCATGGCTACTACATAATTGTCTCGTTCCCATACCTTACGAAGTCATGGATACAACTTAATTATCTTGTTCCCATGCCTTACTAAGTCATGCATATGACTTAATTACCTCATTCCCACATCTTACTTCGTCTTGACTACAACATAATTATCGCATTCCCGTGCCTTACAAGTCATGGCCACTACATAATTATCTTGATCTCAGGCCTTATTAAGTCATGAGTACGACTTAACTGATTCTAACACCTTACTAAGTCATGGCCACTATATAATTATCTCATTCTCACACCTTACTAAGTCATGGCCACTACATAATTATCTTGATCTCAGGCCTTATTATGTCATGAGTACGACTTAACTGATTCTAACACCTTACTAAGTCATGGCCACTACATAATTATCTCATTCTCACACCTTACTAAGTCATGACTTAATCGTCTCGCCTTACTAAGTCATGGATAGGACTTGATTATCTTGTTTTCACATCTTACGAAGTCATGGATACAACTTAATTATCTCATTCCCACATTATACTTCATCTTGACCACAGCATAATTATCTTGTTTCTATGCCTTACTAAGTCATTGTGTCTCATCAATGACAATCATCTCATTGCCACAGTTACTAAGTAGTGGCCATAACTTAATTATCTCATTGTCATGCCTTAACTACATCATGGCCACACGTTAGGATCCCATTTCCAAGACTTAGTAAGTTGTGGGAATGTATTATTTTTATTTAGAAGGGAGGTCACCAGCAGAGCTCTGCATCATGGATTTTATAGCGAAACTCTCATATTTCTTAATAACTACAGCTATCAATGAATATGAAATGATGCCCAGCAGTATTACTGGTTACTGTTTAGATTATAACCAAGTTAACATGCGTCGTCCTGCCATGTGCTTTGCAGAGAGACTGTAGCAGTGTAGCTGTTACCTTCCTCCAGGACGTTTTGCACAGTCATACATTTATAAACTGCCATCTGAATAAATAAAAATTGTTCATAGGGTTTAATATCCCTCTTTATCCCACCCTCTCTTACCACTTTGGCCCAGTGAGGAAGCAGGAGCCTCTGGTCGTCCAGGATCATAAGACGGGTCTTTGCGTACCGGGAGGAATGGAGGGCGGGGCCGAGGTCCATCGCAATCCAATCACGCTGTTGTTCTGGTATGAAACCCAAAGCCTGGAAGCTGTAATTGGTCAATTCTCCGGCAGTGGGCTCATTTCCTGTGGTCAGCCCCCAGAAGGAAAGGTTGTGTTTCTCATATTCCTCCAGGAACCTGAGGAGGAAGATGAGGGAAGCAGGAAGATGAGCAATGAGAAAAGGGGGAAAGTATGTTTGCTCCAAAGAAGGACTGTGTATGTTCATGTGATCCACACAGTCATTCTGACAGACTGTAATACACTACAGGAAGTGTAGGGGGCGATATGGCTTCTACTGTTTCATTTAAAAAGCCTCTATAATGTTCATATGATCCACACAGTCACTCTGACAGACTGTAATACACTACAGGAAGTGTAGGGGGCGATATGGCTTCTATTTCTCTGCACTATAAAAGACTTTGTCACACAGATGTCAGCTGTGGGGCAAAGAGAGAGGAAACAGCATGAAGGAAAAGGCATAATGGTTTGATAAGTCGATGAATCATTTATAGTCTACAGATTAATCGATCTCTAATCTAACATATATAACGGTTACCGTATATAACTGTCACAGTTTATGCACCTGATATAATACTGAGCCCAGGTCTTGTACTCTTTGTCCCCTGGCTGGCCTTTGAGTGAGCCCTTGCCAATAAGTGCACCATTCGTCTTCAGCCAGGAGGGGGCGGTCCAGGCAGAAGCAAACAGAGACAGAGGGCGAGCAGATAGAGCCTGAGCCCGCTGCAGAAGGGGAATCTGGGAAAAACACAGGAAAAAGTGAGAACTGCGTACTGTTTACTATATTATAATGCAGTAAAAGGTCAACATTTAAGACGGAAGTGTGGAACGAGATGCCTTCATAAATTTGAAAACTCAAAAAAGCACCTCTTTCTAGTATCTTTATCTGGATACCACAAAGAAACGAATCCTGATTGGACAGTTTTCTGTGGGGTGTTTCAAGAATTTAACTCTTTAGTTTCCAACCAAACGTAGCAATGAAATAAGACTATTACTACATTTCTTACATAGTTTAAATAAAACAAGCAGGCTGAATATTCATTCATTCATTTATCATCTTTAACTGCTTAGTCCAGATAAAGTCGCGGTGGCAGTTTGGAGAGCAGAGAATCCCAGACGACCCTGTCCTGCTTCCTCCAGCTCGTTCCAGGGGACCCCAAGCTGCTCCCAGGCCAACTTGGAGATATAATCCCTCCAGCGGGTCCTAGGATGACCTCGGGGTCTCGTCCCAGTGGGCTGTGCCTGTTAAACCCTCAATGGAAGGCGGCCAGGGGGCGTCCGGATCAGACACCCGAACCGCCTCAACTGGCTCCTCTCAGTGTGGAGGAGTAGCAGCTCTACTCTGAGCTCCCCCCAGATGACCGAGCTCCTCACCCTGTCAGTAGAGTGTAGCCCGCCCTGCGAAGAGGCTCATTTCCTCTGCTTGTGTTCGGACCTCATTCTTTCGGTCATTACCCAAAGCTCATGACCACAGGTGAGGGTTGGGATGTAGACTGTTCGGTAAACAGAGAGCTTTGCCTTATGGCTCAGCTCCCTCTTCACCACTACGGTCCGGTACAGTGACCGCACTACTGCTCTCACCGATCTCACCATCCCTCTTCCCATCACTCGTAAACAAGACCCCGAAATACTAAACTCCTCCACCTTGGGCAGGTCCTCTCCCCTTACCTGGAGTGAGCATGCCATCCTTTTCCAGGCTGATGAATATATTAAATAAAAATTAACTAAAATTACACACATGTTCTTTAGGTTTCCAGAAATAATGAAGCCTAATCTAAAGATCTAGACGGGCCTGCGGGTCCCCCACTGGTAGAGGGAGGGTGGTATGGAGAATTAGATCATGGCTCTGATTCGGTCACAGTAGATCATCACTGCTGTGATTTTATTCACCTGCAGTGTTCTGTTGCTTTTATACAAATTGTTTTGCAAAGTAAAGAAAAAAGTAAAGCAATGAGCAAAAAACATGGTTTCAAATATATTCTTAACAAATTAATTAATTTCTTCCACCATAAAATAATTAGGGTCACCTTCATGTGCGTGTCTTCCTCAGCCAGGCTGAAGTTAAGCAGGCTGTAATCTCCAGGTGAGTCAGCGTAGGTGTACAGGCGAGTGGAAAAGTCACAGCTGGCCATCGGCACTCTGACCACATTATACTCTATACCTGAAAAACATGATGGAAAATGGCTGTTTAATGTAGATATTTTCAAAAAACTAGCCTTATAGAAAAGTCACAAGAGTTTCACATCTGAATAAACATGTGGTTTCTGCACACTTCACCTTTTTAAAATCATGTATGGAATAAATACTTTGCTCTACCATGCAAAGAAGAAACCATATATAAACAGGATCCAGAAACGCTGCCACTTTCTCTGGGCCCAAGCTCATTTAAAGTGTACTAAGATGAAGTAAAGAGAAAAGTGTCCTGTGGACCAACAGATCAAAATTTGAAATTATTTTCAGAAATCATGGACCCTCCGGCTTATAATCAGAGCACAGTTCGAAAGCCAGCATTTCTGATCGTATGAGGGAGCACTAGTGCACATGGCATGGGTGACTTGCAAATCTGTGAAGGCAACATTAATTTCCGTATGATATATTCAGGTTTTGGAGCAACATATGCTGCCATCCAGACGACGTCTTTTTCAGGGAAGGACTTGATTATTTCAGCAAGACAGTGTCAAACCACATTCTGCATGTATTACAACAGCATTGCTCCGTATTAAAAGAGTCCGGGTGCTAAACTGACCTGCCTGCAGTCCAGACCTGTCACCACTGAAAACATCTGACGCATTATGAAATGAAAAATATGACAAATGAGCTCCTGAACTGATGAGCAGCTGAAATCCTGTATCAAACAAAAACAGGAAAACATTTCACTTTCTAAACTACAGCAGTGTCTCCTCAGTTCCCAAACGCTGACAGAGTGTTGTTAAAGAAGAGCTGATGAAACACAGTGGTAAACAGGCCCCCGTCCCAACTTTTTTGAAATGTGTTGTTGGCATCAAATTCAAAATGGGCATATATTTTTCAAAAAACAATCAAATTTCTCAGTTTCAACATTTGATATGTACTACTATCAATTAAATATGGGATTTAATTATTATCGTTGCACATCTTTGTATTCTGTTTTTATTACATTTTGAACAGCATCCCAACTTTTTTGGGAAATGATCTTGCATATGACAAATCCACTCATTGACTGTATATATGATATATACAACATATACACTGATTAGTTGGAACATGCAGCCACTGCTGCTCTCACTGGACATCGGTGATGAAAACTGGAAACTGTGTTCACTCTGTGTGGAAACCACGCATTATTTATGTTCATGTTCTGCATTCACACGATACAAATAAGGTTATTCTTGAAAGTAATAAATACATCTGATGTAACAATTCACCATTTTTATATCAAAATCACAGTTTGATAGAGTGCAATTTTTAAAATAGCAAGAGCTGCAATTTTAAATATATCTTACATTATTCTTGACAGGTTTTAAGTTGAGAAATTTACTATCAGTGCAGAGTTTGTGAGCTGGTGTACTGACACACTACATTTAGCATTCAAGCTTCCAGCCTGAAATAATGCATGTGCTGGTCTTCCTGGCAAAAAATGGATGAAATTAAAGAAAACAACTGCGTTAAAATCGCAAACGCAATATCGTCACAAAAATCACATTTAGATATTTTCCATTAATGGTTCAAAGCAATTCTGATGAAGCTTATTTTGTCAATAACAGACTGTACTACTATTTAAGGGGAAAACAAAACGTTCTTAGAGCAAATAAGACAAACGTGATTAATCGTGATTGTGCAGCTGTACCGGCTACAGTTTCAGTTTATGCCCTAAAAACATCATCCATTCCTTTTTCTCTCGCTCACCCTCTGGGGAGAAGTACTGGCGGAGCAGCTGGTCCTGGGCTCCGGCCGACAGGGACAGGATATTGATGGCAGCTGAGTCAGTCATAGCTCCTCCGAAGCCCTTAATGTGCTGGTACTTCTGCTCAGGAACCAGAGTGATCCTCAGAGCTGAAAGAGAGAACAGTGGGAGAAAGTGGGTCAACAGGAGCAGTAACGACTAGGGGTGGGCAATATGATGGTATTTTATCATTATTGTGATAAGCTACATCACAATAAGCTTTTCTTAGCACACTGTGGAGATACAAGTGCTAAGAAAGTACTTAAAGATCCCTGAACAACTGCTAAGGTAGCACGATTAGGCCTGCTCAAAGCAGTTTAGTGCAGAGCAAAGTTCAACCCCATTTCCAAAAAAGTTGGGATGCTGTGCAGAATGTAAATAAAAATAGAATGCAATGATATGCAAATCAGGTAAACCATGGCACCTTCACAGATGTGCCAGTCATCCATGCCTCCATGCCATGTGCACCAATGCCCCCCTATACCATCATAAATACTGGCTTTTGAACTGTGCACTGATAACAAGTTGAGTGCTCTTTAGCCCGGAGGACACAGTGTCCATGATTTCCAAAAAGAATTTCAAATGTTGATTCGTCAGACCACAGGACACTTTTCCACTTCCCCTCAGTCCATTTTAAATGAGCTTGGGCCCAGAGAAGGTGGCAGCGTTTCTGGATCCTGTTTATATATGGTTTCTTCTTTGTGTTTTAGAGTTTTAACTTGCATTTGTGGATGCAGTGATGAACTGTTTTCACAGACAGTGGTTTTCAGAAGTGTTTCTGAGTCCATGCAGTGATTTCCACTACAGAATCATGTCTGTTTTTAATGCAGTGCCCCCTGAGGGCCCAAAGATCACAGCCAGCAAATCCTGGTTTTTGTCCTTGTCCCTTACATACAGAGATTTCTCCAGATTCTCTGAATCTTTTAATGATATTATGTACTGCAGATGATGAAAAGCAAAAGTTTTTTGCTGTTTTATGTTGAGAAACGTTATTGTTGAATTGTTGCACTATTTAATCATGCAGTCTTTCACAGAGTGGTGAACCCCTCCTCATCTTTACTTCTGAAAGACTCCGCCTCTCTGAGATGCTCTTTTATACCCAATCATGTTACTGACCTGTTGCCAATCAACCGCCAGGTGTTTTTTTTTAGCACTACACAACTTTACCAGCCTTTTGTTGCCCCGTCCCAACTTTTTTGGAACATGTTGCTGGCATCAAATTCTAAATAGACATATTTTTTCAAAAAACAATACAATTTCTCAGTTTCAACATTTGATATGTTGTCTTTGTTCTATTTTCAATGAAATACAGAGTTGAAATGATTTGCACATCGTTGCATTTTGTTTTTATTTACATTTTGCACAGCGTCCCAACTTTTCTGGAAATGGGGTTGTATGAAACATTGAAGATGTCATTTTTTTAAACATTCTTATCTGTTAGAGTTTACCAGTCCGCCCAAGCCTGGACCTGCACGACGTAACTCACCTGTACCTGTGCTGTTCCTCTGTACCTGGCCTTGCTCCCTATGCAGCCTGCTGCCAGCCTCACTGCTCAGGAACGACAGGAAGTGACCCACGGCAGGTAAACTGACCCGGCCGACGGAGTCGCAGTATGTGGCATTACACTCACACACCACTGAACTCTGGCTGAACATCCTCGCCTGACAGCTTTCACTTCCAGCTGTAGAAATACAGAACAGACAGTCACTCTCACGGTCACTCTGCATCATTCTGTCATCAGCGTCAAGCCCATATAAGGAAGTCCAGGTATAAGCTGGTTTTCTCTATCAATAATCATGCTCCAAACTCCGATATGTTCTGATATGTTCATTCGTATCGGGTTTGGAACACTTTTGTGTGTCATAACAGTGAAGCGCCATTCGTCTTCTTGATAAAGAAAAAGAAAAGAACCTAATAAGTTCCTAATATGGACACGATGCACAACGACTGGTGTATTTTATATACAGTACTGTGTAAAAGTTTGGAAAAATTAGATATCTCCAAAATGGTAACTTTACAGGAGAAGGAAAAACATACTTCACTTTTAATGTAAGTCAATGGAACCAGACTTTTTTGCAAGTCATTTTAGATTATTTTCAAACTACGTCAAAAACTGAAAAATGACAAAAATGGAGATACGTTTCGTTCAAACGGCAGCAATAAATAAACAATATTAATACAATACATGATTTTACATACATCAGTGTGTTTGTTTAACCATTTCCAAACCTCTTCTCAAGGCAATACCGATAGTATTTGCAGTTATCAACCAATACCTGGTTTATCTAATCAATATTAATTAAAACGTTGTTCATACACATCAATCAGCCCAGGAAAACAGACGTTAGGAAGCCATTTATCTAAATCTGCCATGATTACATCAAAAACAGTGACACATATCTAAACAAGGACTTATATATGTATATATATATATCAGATGACCTCACCTGTGGTGTCTGTAACCAGCCCGGCCAGAAGTACCGACACAATAAGAGCTGCTGACCCCCTCATACTGCCTCAGTCAGCTTTATCTCACCTGGCTGAACACAACACACAAAACATGTAGAGACTATGATGAACTCCAACAGATAACAGTGGAGCTCATTAGTCTAAAACCTCAGCACTACAAAAATCACTATAAAAGTGTAAAGAACCAACACAACACAATGAAATTAACCCCAAAAGCGTAAGCAGGAACTGAAGAACTAAAGAGGAACTGAGGAAAAAGGGAAAAAAAAGCCTCTGAAATTAGTTACTTATTCGAATTTTCCGTTCCACCTTAAACGATGCAGCAGCTACATGCAGGTGCCTGAGGCGCCAGAGTGTAACTGCGGCACCATTTAAGGTGGAACGAAAAATTCGCATAAGAAGCCAATTTCTGTCTCTTTCCACATGAATATAGTAACTTACTCACCTTGTCTGTCGAAACCGGTTATTCTCCGCCTTCCCGTGAACGTTTATTCGGCTACAGTAGCTCAGTTTCTGTCCTGTTCCTCTCACATCGCTGCGGTGAAGCGTCCAAAGTTCACCTTCCTGCTTCTTCGACAGTAACATGACCGTCACGTGACTACGGCTTTTATTATTGTTGTTGTTGCGCCACACGGCCTGTAGGTGTCGCCAAAGCACACAAATACAAAACGTGCACCACCCTTAATTTTGTAAACGTCCTGAGATTGTCCTCACTGCGGAACCAAAAGTCCAGGGGGTTCGGCTGGATCTGATCCAACTCCTCCCACGTCGTGTTTTAATCGGTCTGAACTAGAGTGGAGCTGATAAAATGGACAGTGAGTGTAGAAACAAGGTAGAATGAGCTAATAAAGTGGCCTATCAGGGTGTATGACATTTAATCTCATTTTATTTACGTATATTGAGTCATTTTTATTAGACTTATGGAAATGTGTGGCAGTAATACCAAATTCTTTTAAATGTTAAAAAAAAATATTTTTATTATGAAATTCCAGGATTTAGTTGATAAACACAGTTATGTGGGTTATTTTGACCGGTCATAAGTGCATTCTAGTGTCTAGAACCCGTCTATCATAAGTACTTGAGATGTAGGCCTACAGAACGGACTTTGTACCGGAATGTGAAAAAAGCTTCTCGAGTTCACGTCGTGAATCATGAGCGGTTATAAAGGCTGTGTTGTGGCGTTCAGGACGGAGCAACAATCGAGAAAATAAACAAAAACACCAGCAACACCTGCGGGTTTCCCCTGCGACAGGGTGGACCAATGAAATGAGTCGTAGGCGGAAAACGTAAGCGACACATACTAGTTTAAAGACCAATAGAAATGCGGTGATTTTAGACCAATGAAAGAAGACGTGGGCGGAGTTGGATCAGGTCCGGCTCCACCCCTTTGGACTTCTGGTTCTGCAGCGAGTGATAGTTGAACATCCTTAGTATTAAAGGGGAACTCCTTATATTTTCTGAAATAATTAAACGGTTAATGTGTGAGCAAAATCATTCAGAGTGGTTCAGAGTGGTTTGGTGTGAAACGCTCCGTTCTAGAGAAACTTACCGAGTCAGAATTGTTCACAGTGGTGGTGATAGGAACCAGACGTCCACCTCTAAAAGCTCCCTCACAGAAAGTTCCTACATGAAATGGTTGTGAATTCACTGCCTGATGACTGAGACACTGTTTCACAGTAGGTTTGTGATTTATTTTAACCCATTCTTTGCTCACTTGAAAAATATTGAAGGTAACCAGATGTGAGGTAAATTAGTCCCCAAAGAAAACTTATTATTTCAGATTTTCCACTATTTTCCATCATCAACATTCCATATAGACTCAGAAGACTCGTGTAGGTTCACTGGTGGTTCTGGATAGAAAATAAAATGTCTATATTTGTGTTGTAGTCATGGCGACCCCTGGCTCCTATCACCACCACTGTAAAGACATCTGAACCATTTCACACCAAACCACTCTGAATGACTCTGATCACACCTCAAGCTCTCAGTTATGCAGAATTTAAAAAAAGCCTCTGCTTTAATCTCTTTATTAACACTGTTATTCTTATGTCAATTTTTTTTTTATCCGCAAATGTAAATGATAAACAAAGTCTCTGTCTCCTTCTACAGTTAACTTCAACATTAAGTGGTTGCTTTGCGTTTTCTTGTAAAAAAAAAAAAATAGAAATTAAATTGGTGACTGTGTACAATAAGACTGTTAGCACCTGCTGGAAAAAAACATTCCATACTGGTTTGATGCTGGTTTATCTGGTCACCCAGTATGGTCATGCTGGTTGACCAGCATATCAGCATCCAAAACAACACATACATATATACATATAAATGATGGTACTACAAGGGTTCTTTAGTAAAGAAAATGGTTCTACATAGAACCATGAACACTCAAAGAACCCTTTACATGACTAAAGGGTTCTTTGCATCAGGAAATGGTTCTTCAGACTGATGGAGAATATGCTGTAGATGGTTCTATACAGCACCTTTTTGAAAAGGGTTCTTTTATTAGTACAGGCTTCACATCATAACAATAGAAGAAACCTGTTTGGTGCTATATAGCATCACTTTCTTTACTAAAGAACTCTTGAAGAGCCATCATTTGTAAGAGTGCTTATGTAAAATTGCAACTGATGTCCCACAGTTTATACCCTCTATAGAAAAGCACTGCAAATTGTCCACAAACTTTTGGACAGTTTATTTAATACAAATATTTTCGAAAGAGACTCGTGAACGGAGTGATCCGTCGTTCAGACCTACTTTAACACTTAGTGTCACTAAGATAAAGCTAAAATTTTACCCCACACTTCCAGCTCTGTCGAGTTAATGGATGCTGTCATACATGACGTCTAACGTCCGGCAGGAACCCAGGAGTCATTAAGAGTTAATGAAGTCTTTCCTCTTTTATTTTTGGGAGATAAGACAGTGACGAATGGGAGACGTTGCTGGATCTGAATTACTGTCTCTGAGCTCTTTCAGAGCCTCTTAAAGGGCCCAAATCATGGAAAACTTCACTTTCCTAGCTTTTTGTGTTTAAATAACAAGAGCAAGAGCTTAAATATTGCATTTAAACAGTCTGCAGTCCATAAAGTCCATATATGGAAATGAAGCTGTAAAAACAGGCCTTTCCGAAGTCATTATTGTTGTCACAAAAACTGACACATTTACATATATCCACCTACAGCCTACAGCAGTTTAGCTCCACCCATTCAGGCTGAAGTTATAAGGAGTGTTGCAGCCTGGACTGTTTTTAGATGGAAGTGCAATATAGTGCAGCCAATTAGAACAGAGCTCATTTACATATACAGTCATACACAAAAGTTTGTACACACCTGGTCAAAGGACGTTTTTGTTGACTTTCGAAGTGAAAATAAGTGAACACATCCTTAGAGAACACAATTCTGCACAATTTACTGTACATTTATTTGCTGAATTTAATATACTGAATATATATATATATAATATATATGTATATATATATATACATTATATATATTATATATATATATATATATCTTTTTTTCTCACAACTCACAACACAGGGATAGAATAAAAAAGTGGATTGTTCTTGGGGTCCCTGGGGGCCAGTTTGAGAACCACTATCAAAAATACAAGAAAAATGTATAATATGGGCCTTTTAAAGACATAAATGACTGTGTGCTGGAAACTGTGGGTTATTTCTGAATACTGTACATTCAATTTACAGAATTTACTGCATTTGGAATTTTTTATGGGCAATTTTTAACTTTAATAGAAGCAAAAGAGTTATTACTTTATGTTAGAAACAAAAATGTAGGCACTAGAAATCTTAATGTAGGAAAGAATACACAGACCGATTACTTTATGCATGAACGCAAGAAATATGAAGCAGATGTGTCGCACCAGTTTTTTACCCCCAGAAGGACTTTTATTATTAAAGACATGAACCACATATGTAATCTGTATTACGTAGAATTTTACACAGAAAGAGTCAGAGCGAGAGAGCGAGAGAGCGAGAGAGAGAGAGAGAGAGAGAGAGAGAGAGATGAATATTTATTAGAGGAAAGCACACAATCTTTCCAGAATGGATGGATTTCTGTTGCTGAGAAAGATGAGCTCCTTCTTTCCCTCCTCTGTTCGACCTGCAGGAACAAAATCAGAGTTTTCCAAAAATGCCTTTCTGCTGCTGCTGTAAACACCAGTGTGTTTCCACATACTGTACACCTGTACACAGTATGCCAAGTGAAAGCATGTTAAAAGTACATGATATAAAAATGTAAATGAATCCTAATTGTGCGATCATTTTGCCATATTTGTAGGCTGCACGATACGATATTACCTTACGATACTTAAGTCATGATATGATTCTACGTAATATTAAAAGACTTGTGATATGCTAAGTTTGATGACATACTGTAATATACTGCGACTTCTTACTTTTGCAAATTACTCCTCCAAAAGAAAACTCTGCTTTACTTAATAAAGAAGTCACTGTTTTCCTGTCATTTGAAGCACAACAGGACGAAGTAAACAAATCAAAATAAAAAAGACTCACATACTCCTCACATTTACACATTAACATCTAACAAGTTTAAGAACTGCGTTTTATTAATCCAGGGGGATTTACGACAAATCTCCCTGGATTATTTAAGACAAATGTAATGTTAGGAGTATCACCCAATTCCTTTTATTTATATCAGGGGTTCTCAACCTTTTCTACCCCAAGGCCCACCAGATTATAAATACAAAGAACAGCGGCCCACAGGAAAACTAAAACCATCTGTTTAAATAAGATTTTCTCTTCTTAAGTGCTGAAACTGAAAACCTGAGAGTCAGATCAGATCGTCCACTTCGGCCTTCGCAGGTCCCAAAATTTGCAGTTATGTTAAAAAAATACTTGCTGAGATGTTAAAAAACCAAAAAGTATAAAAATGTGCGAGGTAGATGAGAAACCCTGATTTACATATTATAGTGGTGTTTCTGATTCCCTCCTCAGTAGGACTGAACGTCATTCTCCCGTGAGCAGGGCGAGCATGTTAACCACTACACTATCTGACTGTTTATAACAATAATGACACTGACAGAAATCTGGCTATCACTAGAAAGAAACAGTGACCTCTTGTGGATTAGGACAGAAACGCACATTGGCAATCTGCTAGTCTAACAACAGGCTTAACACCCGCTAAAAATATTAAAAATTAAAATAACATCAATACCAGGGCACCCATGTATCAATACTACTTTTAAGCCAAACATTTTGTGATATAATTTTGTATCTGTCCCCAAGTGACTTAATTTACCTCCTTATTAACACAAGCTAAATATGCACTAATTTCACTTGATAACTTAGAATTATTAAAACATCTCTAAATATGTTGTATAATTCTGTAATAACCAAATAAACTTCATAATTAGAAGTATTGCATACATTACTGACATTTAAGATGCTTTAACTCTTGTTGTTTTACACTGAGACACTCACTGTGTGGATGCTGGAGCCAGTTACGGTCCATGTAGTACAGGTAACAGCTCTCAAACTCCTTATCGCTGTAGTTGGAAATGGGGATTGGCACAAAGGGGTCCATGTTATCAAACCCCTCCTAAAAGAGAAATGAAAAATACTATACAACTGAGTCTGATTGTCAGGAATCACAGATGATTTTAGTGTGTGTGTGGGTTTACTGACCTCTCCCAGCAGCTCCATGGGCAGGTAGGCTGAGCGAGGTTTGAACAGAGATCCTGTCTGAGACAGCGTCGTGAGAATGGCTCCCCCACACTGTGAAAGAAGAAAAGTTAAACGAGGAAGACGATACAAACAGCACAAACACCCCACACTGAGGGGTAGGGTAATTATTCTGAGGGTATAAACGTTTACCCAGTCATTTCTCAACATCTTCCTCAGGTTATGGATGAGCGTTAGCTCCTCTGGAAAAACCTAACAGGCAGAAAGAAAAAGAAAGGCAAGAAAGAAAGGAATTAAAACAAGCTCAAAACATTAGATATAATCAGTGGAACTGCAATGACTATTCAATAAAATTGATACATAATGTCATTCTGACAGACTGTAATACAATACAGGAAGTGTAGGGGGCGATATGGCTTCTTCTGTTTCATTTAAAAAGCTCTATAATGTTCATATGATCCACACAGTCATTCTGACAGACTGTAATACACTACAGGAAGTGTAGGGGGCGATATGGCTTCTACTGTTTCATTTAAAAAGCCTCTATAATGTTCATATGATCCACACAGTCACTCTGACAGACTGTAATACACTACAGGAAGTGTAGGGGGCAATATGACCTTTTTTCCCCTCACCAAAGAGAAAATGGTTTGCTGCACAGATGTAACTGAATGAGGGTGCTGGTTGATGGAGTAATCGATTATAGAAATAACTGCTCTACCTGTTTTCATATTAGAAATGTGAAACAGAATAATGTGAGCAGGCTCGTATGGGAAAGGCACAATACCTCACTCTTGTCCTCCTTCTTCAGAGTTGTTTTCCCCCACAGTGCGTTCACTCCATCTACAGCCACAGCCAGTCTGAAAGCTCCCTCTGCGGCGCCCCCCGCCTGCAGCCTCAGCTCCCTCAGCAGTGCCCCCACCACATCACTGCTGCTCTTCACACGGGACATGCCCTGAGGAGAGCACAAGGCACAAACAAGATGAATACAAAATTAGGGGGTAACTACAGCAAAGAAAGAGGCATGAGGAGAAGAGAGTCTGGTGGAGGGACTAGCAACGGAAGGATTGGCGTGGGACTAATTTTCAGTGTTGTGCATGGGGGCGGGCAGGTAACCAGCTCACAGATTTTCGGTTTAAAGAGAAGGAAAATCTCCTTCTGATGATGTATCCTGAAGGTGGGAGTAAAGCTACAAGTGCTTTGGGGGGGATACTTGGGGGCAGTCCCCCAGTCAAATTACATCTTTTGTTTATTTTCTAAGTCTCAGTAAGATACCACGCCCTCTACAGGGAACAAAATTAAATATGGCATTTTTCTGCAAATTTTAGTGTTCAGTTTTTATTTCTGTGCGCAGTTTAACATTGAAAACAAAACATAAAATATAAAATGCGCCATACCTTCAGCAAATAAACGGTCATTGTGCATTAAAATGTGCAGAAGTGTGTTCTCTGTAAAGGTTGTTAACTTGTTTTCACTCAGAAAATTAAGAACACATGGGAATTTGACTGGGGTGCCCAAACTTTTGCATACGACTGTGGGCTAACATTACTGCTGGGAAACAAATCAGAATTACAAAGATACGAATATCACATCATTATTATCCTCGACATGAGAAACTCAGAAACGGCTGTATGATAGATTTGTGTAATGCATGCTGGGGATTGTAGTGCAAGAATACAGAATTGGGGATTCTGTCAAACTGATGAGGCTGAGGGATAAAATGCTGCAATACAGAATAATAAATAACATGACAAATATTGTTTAAGCTAGTTTTAGGCCAGAAGGCCCCAGTAGCTGCTTTGTTATTTTTATATAACACTTATATTCGCATTTAGGAAAAACACTTTCACTAAAACTATTTGGGTTTATTTAGTTTTTGACCATGAAAATTTACAGCAGTCAATATTATTGGTTATTTGGATTCTTAGCTTCTTTAATTCAGTCTATCCTCATATCGGATGGGCCCTAATTAGAGTTTAGCAGAATTGTGAACATAATGACAAGTATGGTGGAAAAGGAATGAACGAGCCCCACCTGGTCAACCAGCTCCCCTAAAGGCCGTCCTTCTTCTGTGCTCTCTCTCTTCGTCCATACGTAACGCTGCGTCGTCTTTATCTGCTCACCAACAAGGAGAATTGTGGAAATTCATGCATGAAAGAAAAAGCGGTCAGTTATCTGGGTGCCATGTTGAGGGTGTAGATCTCTGATCTTCACAGTGATTCAACCCGTGTATGATTCTTTAGGAAACGATTCAGTAAATCATGAAATCTAACATTTCGCCATGATTCACTTTGATTTTGGTTCAATTCAGAATCATTAAAAAACACTCCGATTACACAAATATAGCTGGAGCAAGTATTTACATATTACTAGCCAATAAAATCAGCACATCAAGCTTTCTTTAATTTTTTTTTACATAGAAAAATAGACAGAACATTATTCTGTCCATAAAACTGAACATATATTTTACTGATTAACTGACGACATCAAAAAGTCAATACAGTTGATTCAGATTGGTGCATTTTTCTATTCCTGCTCACTGTACTGTCAATGTTGTGAGTCTAGTTGCAATTTTAAATTCTAATTCCAGGTTACAAAAATCATTACAGTACTTAAAAATGACTAAATAAGTTGCCATGGTTACAGAGTACCTTGGAGAGAAAGTGCTCATTGGTGGTTTTAAAATTCTTCAGCCAATTCGAGGCTTGGATTGGCTGATCAAAGCGGCCTGGGCGGGACGACGAGGGCAGCAGCTCCCGGCAGTTCTTCACCCACAAATGAGCTACAGAAAAACAGAGAGAAACAGAGACACCTAGTGGTGAAACTACAAGCCCAGGGTGAATCAATATGATTCACGATTCAGTGGTTGTTGATTCAATTCCATGATGTACCAGTGATTCAATTCAGCTAACTTTACTACCTTCTACAGTAGCCCCCAAAAGTATTTGGACACTTTAACCATTTAAACAATGGCAAACTTCAATGAATCTATTTAGGTTAATTCATTAAGTGTTATAAAATAAAAATAACATAATTATGATTGTTTGAGAGAAAAACCTGGAGAGCTCCAACCAGCCAAAACAGAAATCAGCACAGCAAAAAGTCGAAATATCGAATATTTCTCATTTTCTTATTATTTAGCTTATTTCTAGACACTTTTCTCTTGTTTTAAGTCACTTTATTAAGTAAAAGTATCTCACTATACTGGCAGATAATTTAGCTGGTTTCAAGCACATTTTGTAAAATAGCTAAATGATCTGACAGTATAGTGAGACAATTTTACTTAATGAAATGACTTAAAACAAGTGAAAAATGTTTAGAAATACGATAAATGATCTTAAATTAAGCTTATAGCCATTTTAACATGAGAAATATTCGATTTATTGACTTGATTTAAGAGAATTTTACTACATTTTTTGCAGTGAGAGATGGGTAGTTCAGGTCCAGAAAGTAAAAATCCTCCCCAGGATTTTCTTACAACTGCCTGGCTTCTCTAAATTAGCCCAAACCAGGTGATGAGGTGACCAGGCAGGAAAAAAAATCCTACATCCTGAACCTGAACTACCTACTTCTGACAAAATCGCAGAGATTATGCAAGCTTGAAAGATCACAAAGGTTTTTTCAGCTTCGTGTAAACTTCACCTTCTTTAGCTCAATGTATGCAGAGGCCTTAAAGGAGAATTCCATCAAAAACTGCATAATTAAATGGTTAAGATATAAACAGAGTCGTTCAGAGTGGTTTGGTGTGAAATGCTCTGTTCTAGAGAAACTTACAGAGTCAGAACTGTTCACAGTGGTGGTGATAGGAACCAGACGTCCACCTCTAAAAGCTCCCTCACAGAAAGTTACTACATGAAATGGTCATGAATTCACTGCCTGATGACTGAGACACTGTTTTATGATAGTTTTGAGAAGAGACTTTTAAATGAAACGTGTTTTCCAGAGTGATGAATCAGCTTCACTATCTGGCAGTCTAATGGTGAATCTGGGTTTGGCAAATGCCAGGAGAACACTGCCTACCAGAATGCATACTGCCAGCAGTAAAGTTTGGTGGAGGAGGGATGATGAGCTGGGCTGTTTTTCAGGCCCCTCAGTTCCAGTGAATGGTGATGTTAAATAAACAGCACAGAGACATTTTACACAGTTATCTGCTTCCAGCTTTGTGTCAGCAGTTTGGGGAAGAGCCTTTCCTGTTCCAGCATGACTGAGCCCCTGTGCACAAAGCAGCTCCATAAAGACATGGAGTGACCAGTTTGGTGTGGAGGAACTCCAGTGGCCCTCACAGAGCCCTGACCTCAACCCCACTGAACACCTTTGGGATGAACTAGAACGGAGATTGTGAGCCAGGCCCTCTCGCCCAACATCAGTGTCTGACCTCACAAATGCTCTTTAGACTGAATGGACACAAATTCCCACAGACTCTCTCCAAAATCTTGTAGAAAGCTTCCCAGAAGAGTGGAGGCTGTTAGAGCCACGAAAGGGGGGTCAACTCCATATTAATGCCCATGTTTTGGAATGGGACGTCCAACAAGCTCATATAGATGTGACTGGTCAGCTCCACACTTTCAGCCATAGAGTGTATATGGGGCATCATCAAAAACAGTAATCAGCTGTAGCATCTTTAGGGTAAGCATTCTGCCACATACTGAGCAAATACAGCTCCTTTTTGTCCCTATTGATGGCTAATTTTGCACTGCGTTTCCTTTTATACAGCTGATTACTAATGAGTCTAATAGTTGCTATTTGTGGTTATGTAATGAGGTGCCTGCATGAGCTCTCACCATCTGGTATGTGCAGGACTAGCCATCCTTGAGTGGAGCAGAAATGAAGCACATGGCACAGAGACAGAGTCTTCCCGCAGCCCTTCTCTCCATCTAATACACTGTCAAGGAAAAACTCATTCCGATGCTAAACATACATACATGAAGGCAGAGGTGTCAGTAACGAATTACATAACTCTCATTACTGTAATTGAGTACAGTTTTCCCTGTAACGGTACTTTTTTGAGTAGAATTAAATAGTACTTAGTACTTTTACTCTTACTTGAGATAATTTTTAATTAAATACTTTTACTTCGCTACTTTAATGTTCATAACGTAACAGAGTGAAAACAAACTATGAGCTTATCAGCTCAGAAACCAATAAGAACGAAGCGCGGTTAGATTTAAAAGATTCACCAATCAAAAAACAGCGGCTCCGGCAGGAAAAACACTACAGAGATGTCCAGTTTAGTGGAGAAGGACAGAGGAGAACTGAACCAGCACACATGAGGAACAGACCGCGTCCAAACGGTCATCTAAGCCATCTACTCGTAGTTTTCTCTTAAATGAACTTAATTAAACTATTATCCTCTGCATGTCTTTCAGGGATTCTAAAATACTTTATTGGAAACAGAAACTAGGACGTCTTATATAATCATCTAACCATGAAATGCATGCAGCTTAATGTAAACCTTGTTCCTTACACAGATCACAGAAAGGTGTGTAGATAGCAGATGAACTAGCAGTGCAAACTGTGATCAGTCTCAGCTCTCAGAACTTTTGCTTTAGTGTTTTTCAGTACAGAATATTTCCAGCGATGTAGCCGAGTGGCTCAGACATATGTTCAGGTTGTGACAGCGGAAATATAAAAAGTAACTAGGTAACTCAGTACTTCAGTAGTTTTTCAACGAACTACTTATTTACTCTTGGGTAAGTAATTTTATTTACTAATAGTTTTACTTGAGTAAATTAGCACTACAGCAAAAGTACTTTAGGGGACCGTAGGGATTTTCAGTGAATATGTGCGCAAATGAGCAGGAGGTAGTAGAACTGAAAGAGGTTAATAAATATTATAAATACTTATTAAACTTATCAAACCTTGTGGAGCTCGTTTAAAACTCTCAAATAGATTTGATTACGTGGTGATTAAGGAGTTTTTAAAATGAGACACTCGATAAATGTCAATTATCATCTCAAAATCTACATTAAATTGATACAAATGTAAAATTCAGAAATAGTTTTTTGCTGACGAAAGCTGGTGTGAAGCAAACGGATTTAGAAAAGGTTTTTACCCTGATGCGATGTCAATGTTTTGTTAAGAGGGACTTTTATTTTGACACGCTGCAGCACTTTGTACACATGCACGTCTGCTGGGAAACACATTTCTTCTCCTTAAATGAACAGGATTACACACAATGTTAGGTAGTTTTCAGTAGGTTGCGGATGTGCACTACAACATAGTAGCAACCTTATTTATTTATTATTTATTTATATGTATATTTATGTATTAGGCATTTTATTTAGCTTTTTTACATTCATTTTTATAGTTTTTTCAGTTGAATTGTATCTGAAATTCAAGGAAAGCTACTGTTGAAAAGACTATTTCTTTTTAGAAGTTCAGTAAATGCATAACGTCTCCAAAGTTAATGAGTAATCATGTTAAATAATCAGGATCTCAATACTGACCAAATCATCGCAATCGTGATTTTTGCCATAATTGAGCAGCCCTAAAACTTTGTAAATATGTTTTTATTAACATTTATATTTCTTGCTCAACTCTTTTACCTCTTAGTACTGTGTATATGTGCCTCAGTACTTCAGTACTCGACTATGTCTCTCATTGCACGTCCTTTTACTTGCACTTGACTGTTTGTGTATTGTGAATGTTTATATATAGAATAGCTAAAATCCTTCTATATTTATTTTATCGGATTTAATTTTGATCACCTGCACCAATAGAAACTCCTTGTACACCTGGCACTTGGCGAATAAAGATTCTGCTGATTGTGATGATGATTTTCTGCGATAAAGGATACAGAGTACGTAGCGCAGGGCAGGTTTGCTGTAGTCTGCTTTCCTCAGGTAGGAGATGAGCTCCAGCGCCGGCTGCCTCACCATCACACACGCTTCGTTAAACGTCTTCATCTGTAAACGAGGCGCACAGAAGGAAACCTTCATCAAACTACAATTACAAAACATCCCGTCAACAGAAATCTTCCAGCTCGATTTCTGCCTCTTCTGCTTTGAATATGAACCATATGGCGTTCACGTACAATAAAAGCATCTAATAAATAAATAAATAATTACAGAAATAGATAAATAAATGTACACGGAATACAGAACAACGCGGAAAATGCTGATCAATACCTGCGTCTGGAAGCGCGGGGGCAGTCCATGTGGGAACAGTGTGCGCACATGTGCAGGAGGGAGGGTGTAATACTGACCAGCATGCAGTTCTGTATGACAGGTCTGTGTAGAAATCCAAAAAGAGGTTTAATTATGTGTTTACAACTGCATTTATAAAGTGAGCGCAGATTATTTAAGACATAATTCAAATTCAAACGCAAAATGTTTACTTGCATTTCTGAGTTTAATGGCTGGGAAAAATTAAAGGTGATATATTTGACATTTTAAACATTAATATAGCAGCACACAACTAATTTCTATGTAAAGACATAGTGGAGTAACGGCATCCTGAGCAGAGAATGAAGCCACGCCCCCTCTGTCTCTGTGTGTGTAATCTGAGCTTCTCTGTTTTTGTTTTCATTGCCAGTCCGGCCGCGCGTGTATGTTTTGCCCTCCCAGACAGTGACCACCTACACAGCGTGTGTGCACCACTTAAGGTGGAACAGGAAAATTTAAACAAGAAGCTGAGGTGCCTGAATGTAGCCCTAACTGCTGCACCACTTAAGGTGGAACAGGAAAATTTAAACAAGAAGCTGAGGCGCCTGAATGTAGCCCTAACTGCTGCACCACTTAAGGTGGAACAGGGAAATCTGAACAAGAAGCTGAGGTGCCTGAATGTAGCCCTAACTGCTGCACCATTTAAGGTGGAACAGGAAAATTTGAACGAGAAGCTGAGGTGCACCTGAATGTAGTCTTAACTGCTGCACCTTTCAAGGTGGAACGGAAAAATTCGAACAACAAGCCGAGGCACCCTAATGTAGTCTAGCTGCTGCACCACTTAAGGTGGAAGAAGGAAATTCGAACAAGAAGCTGGCAAAAAAGAAACTTCAGCTTCATTGAGAGCAGAAATGCCTGAAAAGGGATGAAGAGGTCGCTCCTGCTGGACAGGGAGGCAACATTAAATCCTTTCTGCTGTTTCACAGAATCAACAGGTCTGTACTGTTTTGTCCTGTTTGCGAATGTTTATGTTCGCAACTGGTTAGCGTCTCTAACACTAACAACTGTCCGTAGGAACAGTTTGCTAACCCACCACTGAGTTAACGTTAGTTACATTACTTGCAGTGTTGTTGGTTAGGGTCATTCTGACGTTATGTCATGGTATTTGTCTGTACAACGTTTGCGAAGGGTTTTAGGGCTGCAAAGATCTAAAAAAGCATTTTGGCCTCAGTAATGCGCGTCCATGAATTTGGGGGACGGAGCTTCTGAAGGAGCACTGAAGGGAGGGCTGTGTTCGTTTTACTGTTGAGTTCAAATACCAACAATCGTTGTCCAGAAGCGTACAATGAGCCTTTAATGTGGAAAAGCAAAGTGCTTTTGACATTTTATTTTCATCGTCTTAACCGTCTGACTCCGACACATTAAACATGGAATAACAAAACTGCATTTCTTCATCGTTGCGCTCCAGCTCTGCCAAAATTAAAATGCGACTGCAATCTTGTTTGCAAACTGAATTTTCACTGTTAACCAGTCACTGCTGCCAATCAAACGCTGTGGGTGGGATGTCAGCAGGGGCTTTTTACTGTTGGGTGTGTTTTCAGAGGAAGCCAAACTCAGATTCGTCCACTAGACTGCCAGATAGTGAAGCGTGATTCATCACTCCAGAGAACACGTTTTAGTCCAAAATCTTCTCAAAACTGTCGTGAAACAATGATATCAGACATCATTTATAACCATTTCATGTAGGAACTTTCTGTGAGGGAGCTTTTAGAGGTGGACGTCTGGTTCCTATCACCACCACTGTGAAACAGGTCTGACTCGGTAAGTTTATCTAGAATGGAGTGTTTCACACCAAACCACTCGGAATAACTCTGTTTACATCTAAACTATATAATTATACAGGAATTTTGGAAAATCAGTGGAGTTCCCCTTTTAATGCCTTAAATGGTTATAGGTAGTTTTAGGTAGTTGGTACATACCGGGTCATTCTCTGACGTCCTGAACACTGAAAACTGGCTTGGAACATCTGGATCTACTGCCACCGCGACCTGCTCCACCTGCTGACCGTTTGCGCTGATGTGGAGGGACCGCGCCTGCGAGACCCACACAAGACAGAATGAATCAGTCGGTCTGTGTCAGAGAGCTGGATGACGTGTACAGAACAATGTAGTACGTTTTAACACTTAAATCGAACATGAGAGGCAGAAGAGCAGCCACTTACTGTCAGTCGTAGTCTGTGATAAAGTCTCGGGAGATTCATGATCTGCACAGAAATCACAGGAAGTGGTTTAGACTAAAACTTCATCAATTTTTCCTTAATAATTTATATTAATATAAATAAATCAATATCAATGCAAAAACCAGAAAAGTGCGTATCCTGAAGAGAATGCAGAGTGACTGCATAGCTTAAGCAATGCCCAAGTGGTTGCTATGGTGTTGCCAGATGATTGTTATGGTAATTTAAGTGGTTACTAAGAGGTTGCTAGGTAGTTGCTATGGTATCCTAGGTGGTTGCTAGTGCGTTGCTAGGTGGTTGCAATGGTTGCTAAAGTGTTGCAAGGTAGCTGCTATGGGATCCCTGACAGTCGCTAAGCAATTGCTATAGTATCCTAGGTGGTCCTGAGTAACATCTGAGTAATTACCGGTGGTAGGTAGGGTGTTGCTAAGTGGTTGCTATAGTGTCCCAGGTGGTTGCAAGGGTGGTGCTGGGTAATGGTAAAGGTATGCCCGGTGGTTGCATTGGTTGCTAAGGTGTTGCAAGGTAGCTGCTATGGTATCCCTGACAGTCACTGGGCAATTGCTATGGTCTCCTAGGTGGTCTTAGTCGTTACTGGTGGTTGGTAGGGTGTTGCTAAGTGGTTGCTGTAGTGTCCCAGGTGGTTGCAAAGGTGGTGCTGGGTAATGATTAAGGTATGCCCGGTGATTGCGATGGTTGCTAGGCTGTTGTTAGGTGGTTGATATGGTACCCAGGGTAGTTGCAATAGTGGTGCTGGGTAGCGTTTAAGGTATGCCCAGTGGTTGTTAGCGTATTGCTAGATGGATGCAATGGTTGCTAAGGTGTTGCAAGGTAGCTGCTATGGTATCCCTGACAGTCGCTTGGCGATTGCTATGGTATCCTAGGTGATCCTGAGTAACATCTAAGTCATTACCAGTGGTTGGTAGGGTGTTGCTAAGTGGTTGCTAAAGCGTCCCAGGTGGTTGCAAGGGTGGTGCTGGGTAATGGTTAAGGTATGCCCGGTGATTGCGATGGTTGCTAGGCCGTTGCCAGGTGGTTGATATGGTACCCAGGGTAGTTGCAAGGTGGTATGACAGTTGCTAGGCAATTGCTATGGTATCCTAGGTGGTCCTGAGTAACATCTGAGTAATTACCGGTGGTTGGTAGGGTGTTGCTAGGTGGTTGTAATGGTTGCTAGGGTGTTGCAAGATGGTTGTTATGGTATCCATGGAGGTTGCTAGGCAGTTGCTATGGTGTTCCAGGTGGTTGCTAGGGTGTTGTGATGTGTGCTCGTTAGTAAAGGCAGTTCTATATCAAATCATTTGCATCCTTAAATTGCTCTAGAGATCGATGGAGAATGTGTTGTATATGATTCTATGTAAAACCTTTTTGAAGATGGTTCTTATAGCGCCAAAAAATGTTCTCCTATTGTTCCAAGCTTGACACTGTAACAATAGCTGAACCCAGCACCATTTTCAAAAAGGTTCTAAAACACATTCTCCATCAATCTGAATGCAGAGAACCATTTTAACATGAAATGGTTCTATATAGAAGTCATGGTTCTGAACAAATTTCACAACTAAATGGTTCTTTGCATGGTGAAACAGTTCTTCAGATAAAGAACTCTTTAAAGAACCTTTTTTAAAATGGTTCCATCTAGCACCAAAATAGGCTCTTCTGTTGTTACAAGGTTCTATAAGGTTTTATACAGAACTCATGGTTCTAGAAACATTGCCTTAACTAAGGAACCCCTAAAGAACCATCTTTTTAAGTGTATAACGGTTCTAGCTTAACGTTAATAGTCTTTTCTCAGCTACTGACACATTTCATTATCAAGAACTCTTTCAGGAGCGCCTCTAGAACCACATTACTGGTGAAACATGGACTCAGTGCAACACTGACTGTAATTCTCTGCTCAGTGAAGCGAATGAGAGAGAAATCTCACCTTGACAGTCTCAGCTGAGCTACAGTCACTGAAAACACAGCAAAACCGCTCCTTTAATCACGACCGCTTACCGTGTTCACAGCTATGAACCAGCCAGGCTCCACAAACACAGCTATTCCAGCAAGCGCGGTTAATAAACGCGACAAAACCGGAGAGATATCAGTTTAAACCGCACACATGTACAACCACACAGCTACGCAGCCATGACTGCTCAGTGTCACTGGCCGTTACGTCACGCCGTAGGCTACAAAATAAAAGTTCGCGAACCTCTTTTTTAAATTTTTAAACATGAAATTAAACAGTATTTACATTGTTTTTTTTCTGCTTCAACCAATGCTAAAGACCTGAAGTACGACGGAGTTTTAGGGCCACTGTTAATAAAAATCATCGAGAATAAAGTCGTAATATTTCGAGAAAAAAGTCGTAATATTTCGAGAAAAAAGTCGCAGAATTACGACATTAAAGTGACATTAATACCAGGAGAGGTCGCAATAAATGAGGGACGGTGAGTTGGTGGAGTTACAATTTCACGTCGATTCACCCATAAAGAAACACTCAGTCTCCCTGTCTCTCCTGCACAACAGCACTAGTACGACTTTTTTCTCGAAATATTACGACTTTTTTTTCTCGAAATATTACGACTTTATTCTCGAAATATTACGGCTTTTTCTCGAAATAGTATGATTTTTTCTCAAAATATTATGACTTTTTTCTCAAAATATTACAACTTTTTCTCAAAATATTACGACTTTATTCTCGAAGTCTACTGTTTTTATTTTTATTAACAGTGCCCCTAAAATGCCGTCGTACTGAAGACGGTAGGCGTATTTAGCCTACCATAATTTTGACTGTCAACCATGATGGATTCAGCTGTTCAGCGTTACTCTCCACACTAATCATCAATCAAACAACTGGATAAAATTAAATCTAGATTTACTGTAATCCAGGATCAAAATGATGGTTTAAATTTGGCCCTAATCATTTTTAAAATGGGGTTAAAGTTGATCATTTTTAAATATAATCAAGGTTGCACCCTTTTAACCCTGGGGTTAAACCATCATTTTAATCCTGGATTAAAATAAACCTAGTCCAGTATGAAATGTATGTGAAAATAAAATGAGTACATCATAATTCTTTGGGCACGTTTTCTACCACGTTCCTAGTTTTCTGGGTTATACAGTACAGTGCAAAATGTTTGAAGCACCTCAGCACTGAGTGAATATCATTAATTCATTCATGTCCAAGTTTAGTATAATAAGAAAAAAATGCACAGCACTTGTTCTGATTGGTCTAAAGTGATGAAATTTTGTCGTTTTGAGTGTTTTTATCATGTGTATTGTTTAAAAAGAGGTTTAAAAGTTCCCACTAAGAGACAGCATGACCAGGAACATGCTTTTTATAGACATACTCAAACTGTTCCCTTTATTGCTAACCCTGTCATTGTTTTTAAATATGGATACTGTTATTGTAAAGTAAGGAAAATGGGTTTGTTGCCCTGAGGCAACTTTGTGCAATAGAGTGTTAACATTCAGTATCGTTTTTTTTGTTATGAGAATTTGTGGAAATATGTTTGTGGCCTAGAAGCAACATTGTGCAACAGTGGAATGGATTTGACCAGTCACAAGCCAGATCTCACCACTTCAGGGAACACAGCTCTATATCATTTCTTCCCATTGTTGCACAATGTTGCCTCAAGGCAACATATACCAAAATGACCCCTGCACACATTATTTAAAAAAAAAGTTTTGATATTTAATAATCAGGTCCATTTTATGCAAGAAAAGTGAATGATTTTTTTTTAATTGCTCTCATAACACCTGCAGTATACCTTTGAATAAAGGTAACATTATGAGCACGTAAGAACAATACAATACAGTCTCAGAGAAACAGGTTCCAAATTGGGGGGTGGGGGTGGGGTTAGGGATCTTCAACTCCAGGACCTTTAGTCAGGAAACATAGTAAAACTATATTCCGTTGAAATGATATATTTTTATGTTGAATTGACTCATACACCTTGTCTTGACTCCAGCCTTTTTGTTTTAAAATATTAGGCCATTTAAAATGGATAAATATGTACCTTTCATTTGAGAAAACCTTATTTAAAGTGCACAGTTGGACCTTAAAGCCACTGTTGTACCTTTGAGGGTCCATTTACATTGTTTGTGCTTTGAGGAATGAAAGATGTACCTGCAGGGAACCTTTATTTCTAACAGGGTGATACACAGGATCAAGGCCAGAGGTGCACATAGGAGAAGAGGAAGGGGCAGACAGTTATACAAGGCCTTTAACATGTTCATATTTTAGTCATTTAAGGCCATAAAGGTTAAGTATTGAGGCTCAGGCCTCCTTTTTCCAACACCAACAACTTTGCATGAATTTGCATTTATGGATCTGGTGTTTAAAAAAAGTTCAGTCTTAGAAGCTGGTTGATCATTTTCTGAAGTAACACATTAAGTGGTGTTGAGGTCTGGACTCTGGGGTGGTCAGTCCATCGTCCAGCTTCTTTGTTTGATGTGTCCGTCTCCTTTTCTCAGTGAGGTTCTTCTTGACAGCTACACATCCTTTCAGACCCACAGTGCTGAGTCGTCTTCTCACAGTGGAAGGATGGACAGAAACACCTGTGGATGTTTTCAGATCTGAAGCAGCTTGATTTTCTCCTCTCTCTCAAAGATGAAAGCTTTAAGTGCTGGTTATCTGATGGGGGCAGTTTTGGGGTCGACCAGCTCTTCCAGGTGGTTGTTAGGAGCTGTCAATCAGTTTTTGAACTCCAGTTTTGTTTTTTTACTTTCACTTTTTCCTTCCTTATGCAAGTGGATTATCTTATGTCTTATTGTTGTTCTATGATGTGCTCTAAGTTTAGAGACTCCATCTTGAATTTTGTATGAGAAAGAAAGGATTTTAAAAATGAATGAAAGCCTGTGGGGTCAAAAAGTGAGGGATTTAAAAAGGATGAAAGCTTAAGTGCACTTTTGGTCCATCAGCAGGAATGTTCAGTGGAAACCTGTTTTCATTCTGTTTATAGCCGAAGACTTAGATTAGATTATGCTGTGAAAGGTTTCAGTGACGTGGTAGACAGACTGATATATTTTAAAGGTAAGCTCACTGATATTGATGTATATTAATGCTCCAATAATAATGTCCCTAATACAATAGTGAATAATAAATATTATTATTTTTAGTAATAATCATTATTGTAATTAATAATCCATTATTATTATATTAGTAGTAGTAGTAGTGGTAGTAGTGGTGTGGGGGGGGGGCTGTCCCCCTTTAGGTCATGTGCAGTACTGAATAACATATTACTGCTGAACGACCATCATCCATCCATCCATCGTCCATCTATCCACCCACACATCCATCTATCATTCATCCATCCATCTATCCATCCATTCATCCATCCACCCATCCACACATCCATCTATCTACCATCATCCACCCATCCATCCATCCATTCACACATCTATCATTCATCCAGCCATCCATCCATCCATCTATCTACCCATCATCCACCCATCCATCCATCCATTCACACATCTATCATTCATCCAGCCATCCATCCATCCATCTATCTACCCATCATCCGCCCATCCATCCATCCATCCATCCATCCATCTATCTACTCATCATCCACCAATCCATCCATCCATCCATCCCACCCATCCATCCATCTACTCCATATCCACCCATCCACCCATCCATCCATCCATCCACACATCCGTCTATCATTCATCCATCCATACATCCATACATCCATCTATCCACCTATCTATTCATCATCCATCCATCTATTTACCCATCCATCCATCATTCCATCCATCCATCCATCCATACATCCACCTTCCCACTCATCCATAAACCCATCCACACACACTTCCTCCCATCCATCCATGCATCCAACCACCCGTCCACCCATCTACCAGAATGATCACCTTGGCAGAATTGAAAGCAAAGCAAAATGAAACATCCATCCATCCGTCCATCTACCCATCATCCATCCACACATCCATCCATCCATCCATCCATCCACACATCCATCCATCCATCCATCCATCCATCTACCCATCATCCATCCACACATCCATCCATCCATCTATCCATCTATCTATTCATCATCCACCCATCCATCCATCCATCCATCCATCCATTCATCCACCCATACGCTCATCCTCCCATCCATCCATGCATCCACTCACCCATCCACTCATTCACCAGCTTGCTTCTGTTGCATCAGTCACTAAAGAACTTCAAACTGACTCTGGAAGCTACATCAGCAACTGTGCATTGTGAGCTTCACTAAATGGTTTTCCAAAGCTGAGCAGCTCCTGGGCAACTTCATATTATAACCCATGGTGTTGGAATGGGATGTCCAACAAGCTCAAATCGGTATGATGGTCAGGTGTCCGCATACTTTTGGCCATATAGTGAGCCTGTATTTTGGACAGCAGCAAAATGAAACCTGTATTTATAGTAGCACTGGTCAGTGCACGAATACACATGCACATAATCAAGCAAGCCGCCCACAACAAAGAGCAAAAAGACCCTGCACAGCTTTAGAATACAAAGAACTTAGTCCTTTTCATCTAAACTATAATATTTTTACTCCCCTATAATATTCCTGTAGTGCTGTTTTACAGTAGACTCTTAGCACAAAGGGTTCTACGTAGTACTAAAGAGGTTCTTTGATTTAGAGAACCATTTTAAAATGTTCTTCAAAGCACCATCAACGATATACACACCAATCAGCCATAACAATAAAGTCACCTCCTTGTTTCTACACTCACTGTTCACTTTAGCAGCTCCACTGACCATATAGTTTCACTCTGTAGTTCTACAGTTACAGACTGTAGTCCATCTGTTTCTCTGATACTTTGTTACCCTGTTCTTCAGCGGTCAGGACCCCCACAGAGCAGGTACTATTTGAGTGGTGGATCAGTCTCAGCACTGCAGTAACACTGACGTGGTGGTGGTGTGTTAGTGTGTGTTGCGCTGGTCTGAGTGGATTAGACACAGCAGTGCTGCTGGAGTTTTTAAACACTGTGTCCAGTCACTGTCCACTCTATTAGACACTCCTACCTTGTCAGTCCACCTTGTAGATGTAAAGTCCGAGACGATAGCTCATCTGCTGCTGCACAGTTTGTGTTGGTCATCCTCTAGTCCTTCATCAGTGGTCACAGGAGGCTTTACTATATGTATATATGTGTGTGTGTGTATGTG